GGCTCATGTGCTTCTGTACATGTGGTATCCAATCGCAGCAACGGTTTAATGGGCTCCGGTAGATAACCCCCACAATTAGTTCTGCGCGCCTGAGACGGATTGTGCACCACAATTGTTCGCATAAACTATCCTCGATCCGATAGGTACTGATAAGTTTGCCAGATAGTGACGATTTTATGTACAACAGAACACCACCATGAGCTTTTGATTTTCGGTCACATCGGAAACAAGAGTATCCTGACAACACGACTTCTTGGGGTATGACGTCGGAGTTCAGCCATGTCTCTGCAAGTCCTAAAATGTCCGGCCGCTCCGAGACAGCGAAACGACACAATTCGTCACGTTTGTTCATTAGGTTGCACACGTTGGCGAATGCGACACGGAGGTCCTGGGAGGTACTGCGGGACGTGCCTGGAGGTTGAGCAACCGATTGATACGGGTTCGTACACCTTCTTAGTACGTAATGGAGTACAGAGGGGATATATGGGCGAACAGAGCGTGGGAATGTAGCTGAACGGCTGAAAGGCCACATAAAGAGAACGGAGGGTGATTACCGTGGAAAGGTATTTCTACACTTGTATGTAATTGTAAGAAATCATGTCCTAATAAAATATCAGTGCACAGATTCGGAAGTATTGAAAACTTTACGTGTAGGTAGAACACTCCTTTGTGTAGGAGAAAAGCAAAACAATGTCCTTTGGCATGACTAATAAGTTGCGTGTAAGCCAGAACAAGTTCACTGTGTGATTCCAGCTTTGACCAATAATGTCTTTGTACAACGGTTTCACAGACCAAACTCTCAGAACTTCCTGTGTCGATTAGCACCTTCAGCTTAATTCCATTGACAAGGACATCGGTGATAGCCTTCGCAAGACATGTGGGATCCGCAGCGGTGAAGATAGAAGAAACCACGAACGGTGAGGCAGAAACAGTATGTTTCGTGGGTGTAGAAGGACAAAATTTCTGAAAATGTCTTTTTTCAACATGAATTGCAATTTGTGTCTCTAGCTGGACGCTTGTGTCGAGGATGACGATCATAGCTACAAAACTAGCATTTATCCGATAACCGTTCGCGCGGTAGTCAAAGTGGCGTCCAACGGTGAACTGGTGCATGATTTTTCATGAACAGCGGATTCATCAGCTATGATATTGCAAGGCACGATTGGAACCGATGACAAATGAATGAGACTGCTTCTGAGCTAAGTCTAAGGACTTAGCTTGACCAAAAGCAGTGTATTTTTAGGGTTTTATGCTCCAACATTCTTTGCCTTATAGAATTGGATAATAAACGACTGATAAATGCATCGCGGATGGCATCATCTCGGTTCTGTTCAGCACTCACAGATTTAAAATTACAGTCTGGTGAGTGGTCGAAGTCTCTGTATGGACTGATCGAGATTTTCCTTAGATCTTTGTTTGCAGGTGGCTAATAGATGACGGGCGAACGTTTTATTCTTTGGTTATACATAGTGATTCGAGAATGCTGGTCGCTGATTCGTACGAAGGACATGGAGAAATAACTTTATACACAGCTGGTGAAAGGAAATGGAAGAGTGTCTTTAGCTTGTTAGGTTTTTGTGAATCGATGGTCACCAAGAAGTTTGAAAATGTAAAAACCAGTGTTCCCATGATTCCGCTGCATCGGAAGCGTTTGGATCCATGTCAAAACGTTCGGGTGGCAGAAGCCAATTGTTGTAAGAATGAATACGGTCCACTAGATATATTGTACGTATGTCGATCGAGAAGACGTAGGCTCGAGAGTGAGGCTTTAACCATCTAGAAACTTCAGTATGCAAGCTACAATAGAACACACAATAGGTTATAACCCCAAACAGAATAATGACAGGTTAAAATAGCATAGAAGTAGTAACAAAGTAAGAATGTAAATTCATGTCACAACCTTTGAAAAGTTTGCGGCATTTCGTAGACCAAATGACAGGCGAACAAATTCATCAAGACCAAATGGTGTGGTTACAGCGGTCTTCGGAATGTCGTCGGGAACAACCGGAATTTGGTAGTATACACGCACTAAGTCTTAGATAAAATTGTTCTTCCATGTAGACCAGTTGAAAACTCATGGGTGTGCGGAATCGGATACCTGTCGGAGAAAGTGGCATTGTTTAGTGCCCGGTAATCTCCACAAGGTCTCCAGTCGCCAATGGACATTTTGGGAACCATATGAAGCGCGGAGGACCATGGGCTCTTAGAAGGACGAACAATACCCAGAAGAAGCATATGTTAGAACTCTGTCTTAGCAGTAGCGAGCATATCTGGAGGTAGTCGTCGAGGTCGGGCGGTTACTGGCGGCCCATGCGTTACGATATGGTGCGTAATTTTGTGCTTAGGCTCAGGAAAGTCGTTAGACGAGTGCTAAAAAGCAGGTAACTGAGGAAGTAGTTCGGTGAACATAATGTCAACGGGTAATGCTAAGCGAAGACCGATGGAAGTGACTTTACTCGAAACGAACATGGATGTCAAACTATCGCGCAGTTTACAGTGACGCAGGTCAACGATGAGGCCGAACTTGGTGAGAAAATCAACACCAAGGATGGGGAAACTTCGACAGAGACCAAGGTTAATGGTGAGCATTTTCTGGCCGTATGTATGGATCTTGGTATTGCTAGCGGCCTGCATTGTCAGCCCGATTGGAAGTGGGTTGCGTTTTTCTGCAGCACGAGGAATAACGCTAACCTCGGCACCGGTATCAACCAAAAAGTACAAATTGGTTGAGGAATCGTAAAAGTAAGGTAGGCGACTGTCTGAATGGCCAGACGCAGCCGTCGCCATCGCAGGCGGGCGTGGAGGTTTCACTGCTGCAGTTTGCAGAATGTTTTCGGGTGCTTACAACCAGGTCAACAATTCAGTGCATCATCTCCAAAACGGTGATGGTACTACCATAAATGACAGGTCGAACTGAAGGGACTACATCTACTTCGAGAGGAGCGTCTAGGCCTTCTACCACGGTAGCGATTAATGCTCGAGATAGCGAGCTCCAGTTTAGATAACCCTTCGGAAATCGTTTCAATCGAGACATTCTTATGATCGGCTCTGGCGGTTGACTCAACGGAGTAACATGCTGCGTTTTTAGAAATGCACTCGGGAACCTTATCGGCGGTCTCGGCTAGTTTTTCCAAAGAGAGATCATCTGCGAATACAAAAAGGAGAGCTGAGGTGTTCGTTGGGAGACATTACGTCCACGGCTGTCGCAAAATAATGTCATCGATCTTAGTGGGACTGACCAACGTACACATGTACCTGAGGAATTGTTACGACCTGCCATCGCTTAGCTTCACACCGGTGAGTAGCTGTCGAAGTCGAGCTTCGTTTGAAACCATGGTGTGTTTTAAAACGGCGGCTTTCAGTTTGTCGTAAGGCGCTTCGGATCAAGTAAATCTATAAGGTCAATAGCTATGTGGGTAGGAGGCTGGCAGTGACATGTGCGAACATTGATGACTGCTAGGTAACGCAACTGATGCGAAAAAGGGCTTCTAATTGTAAAAACTACACATGAGAATTAGTTGAAACGAAGGCAGACAAGGAGAGACCAACAAAATTTTGAAATGTCATTGCGGGAAACGTGGTCCGATATAGTAAAAGCACAAAATAAGAGATCTGAGCTATCAACAAAATGTAATCATCAAAGTATAGTGGAAAAACCAAATTAAAGGAGCTTAACTACATAAAAGAATTCGGTCTATAAAGTAAGAATGTTAGACCTGACCTTCGATAAAGCACGATTTTCGGTAGGCCATCTCTTATTCGCACAATTCGGTTCGGGAAGACGGAACTTTAGTCAGTACAATAATTCGACGCATGCTCGACGACAGTGATCGATAAATGAGGCAAACAGGCTGACGATCGACAGCACAACACGCGTAGTCGAAACCAGAAATTTCGAAAAGTAATTTGTCTGTTTTTGGTCAGTTAAAACAAAACTGCACCACGAGTAATGGAAATGTGAATAGGAAGGTATAATTAGAAAGATAGAACTGTACATGCGCTACAATGTTTCCTGGGTCACCTATCCTGCCACCAGACTCGAAGGCCGCAGACAGCCAGGTAGCTCATACATCTTAGTATTTGAACTCCACATAGAACCTAGTAGCCACCGAGGTAGTTCATTCACTCCCTCCGTTGCCGAAGTAAGCGGCGAGTGATCCTCCAACCGGACTCTGGTTTGTACACAGCGTCTTATGGGTCATCATCAACAGCAGTATATTAGCCATTTGAACTGATGCTTCAGTGCAATACGACCATAATGACTTACATTACAGAGAATAATAAGATAGAGAGAAGGGGATTTTCCGGAAAACCTTAATCTTCTAAATAAACATTCTAGGTCCCAGCGTCTACGCCTTGTCAACAACATACCGTCACAAACCACTGGCTATTGGCATCGGCGAGACAGCTCCCTTGCGGCTTTCACTTCCCCGCGTCATAATCAGCCATTACCCCGCATATAACAGCACCAAACACACTTTAAACAGACAGTCCGACTAGACGGCGGCAGACACGCTACTGGCGTCAACTGCGAGCCATATCCTGTAAAGTCTCCAGCCCAGCACAGTGCGAGCCACATGGACTCCAGCTTGGAAGGCAAGACGGACCGGCGGCACTGTGTTTGGTCGTCGGTAACTTCATTTCCCGCTGCCAGTTCAACTTTTGTCCACCTCGAGCCTTGCGTTACCCCACATCTGGCAGATAAAATAAGGCGCTCCTCAGTAAGCGGTGACCGGACATACGTAGCACGTGCCTAAGCCAACGCAACTTATTCAGTACGGGCCATTGTGGTGTTTGATGTGCAACCAGGTGAACTGCCCAGAACTTCCATGCTCTGTGGCGTTACCGTTGGTTGTCGTAACTGTTTATTCGCCTCGCTCGGGAAATGGACAGGACCTGTCCACAATTGCTTTCACAGGGAAGACCTGCAAAGACCCGCAGCCTAGGGGCGCAGCAGGTAACGTACAGCTCCGCTGTGCCAATATGTCAAGCCATTGGAGGAAAAATCGTAAAAGTGCGTAAATTAGTTCGATCGCTAACTACTGAAAAATGGAGGACTTACAAGTGTGAAACTACAAATGGCATGTCCTCATTCAAATATATCTTTTGCTCTCTCTTATTCACTTCGTTTGTTTCTGATCGGATTCCTCAACAGTTGATGAAATCGGATTTCTCAACTACGTTAGGCCATTAGAGTTTCTTGCTACGTATGATCTTCGGGTGTTGAAATCGCTTTTACGCGTGTTTTGTACGCACATTGTCGATTTCTCTGTTTCCCTGTTTAAGTTAAAATGGAGAAACGGCAGAAGCGCAAGTCGAATAAGGCGTTATTATTTCCGCACGATGATTCAAGAAGCTTGTCAAAACCTGGTAACCAGATGTCGTTTGACTACCCTTTAAATGAGACGCGGAAGGGCCGAAAACGACCGGCTGAAATGGACGCAACAAGTCACGGCTCCACACTGGTCTCTGAGCAGTTGGCATCCACCATATGCAAAGCTTCAACCATAAAGTAAGTCTATTAATCCTTCGGTGCTGTTTGAGTCATGAATTGTCGTGACTTGCTTTTATTAACCTTCCGCGCTCTTCTGTTTTTCATCGACAGCCTCCAGTCTAGCCAGCTCTTACACAAGGAATTAAAATCTCACTTCGAATGCCATTTTTAGGTCTATCCGGTCAAAATTACATACTTTAGTCGTTCGATTTGTTGTGTTTCTGCTGGCAGTACGGTTAACCGATACAGCTACTCGCGTCACAGTCCAGCCACTTTCCAAATCAGAAGACCCGGAAGTTAGTATATACCGTCAAGATATGGGATCAAAATAAAAAGTTCATGAGAGAATGACCTAATTGAAAATTCCCGATTTCTAGCAACTACTCGATACGCGAAAACTCACTGGTTGACTATTCCATTAATGCGCTCATTGGACTGCTTCCAGGTGGCTCATTCTCAACGGTTCACTTCAAGGTAAAGCGATATCACTGGTTTACTCCCGTTGGCTAGCCAGTCAGCTTCAAGCAACGTGGGGACTATCTTCTCGGGACTGTTTGAGAGAGGGCTGGCTTCGGGAGCTGCTATGGACAGGTTCCCTTAACAGTATTCCATTGCATCTATATTATTTACAACTTCCTCTTTCGGCCTATGTAAAGACGCTGGCGTCTTCGCACCCTTATACATGGTTGGCGACATCCGTGTCAAGATTTGTCTGTCACTGCGGCCTCCATAGGACAGCCACAAGACGTCTGCGCCTCCAGAGGGACCATGGGTGGCTTACGTTGCACTACCCGAAGCTCCATCCACACACACCCTATATCCAGTGTAAACCCGAAGGAATAAGACCGGGAGGCATGTGGATGGGAGCCGTTTTATCAACGGAGCCGCCCTACACTCCTTCAACGGGCAGAGCAGAAGCATTCATATCCAGTTGGGAAATCATGCGTATCACGTACACAAGGTGATGGCTGGGTTGTAACCCGTTCCATACTGGATGCATAGAACCACCCTTTGAGCCTAGCACCGTTACGAGGACCATGCACTTTGTCCCCTCCAACAATGACCAGTCGTCTCCTGGAGCCAGTATAGACGACGTAGTGGGTAATAGACGGATAGGCACCTTGTCAGCATTCACATCAAACGCAGCTACACTTGGGATCTCAATCAACAATCAACCTATGGGATGCAAGAAACTCAACTCGCAGACACTTACAGACCAAATGCAACGATGATGCAGCACACGTACCACATCAACGGTTTTATTGACATGGGTTAGTAAATCAAATGGATGCGGACACAGCGCACCTACCAATCGTTGCCCTGATTATGCTTACATAATCAATCGGATCTCCGTCTGTTGGATGCTGGCCGTACGTGACCACGCTCGTGGCTCAGGCACTCGCGGCCGCATGTGCTACAGCACAATGCGCTCGACGTCGAAAGGCTATCCACCATCGGCGCTTGTCGCTTTCTCAACCGACGTTCCTTTCCCACATGCAATAGTGATTTCTCCTGCATCTGGGCAACCGTCCGCTTGATCAGCTTACCACATTCTCGCCGGTAAACTGCCTTTAATTCGCAGCGCCTGAAATCAATACGAGTTCGTGCTGAACTAATCTTGATCATGTTTTGGTAACGTAACTTCGCTTTTCCCACGTTCCGCTACCCTGCACGCAATTGGCTATGTAGCAGCTGTTTGGGTATCCTCGTCGAATTCATTTGGCTGATATGCTTCAGCCACCTCAGACGCCGCAGCAGAAGTATGCAGTGCACTGCCTACTCGCCACTGCGGCTCAGCATTTCCATGTCTGCAACATTGTCGCATCGACCGATGTGCATAATCCGTCGCAGGCACCGTTGATGAAATCACTAAGTATCTGACGTCTTTCCAATAAAGCGTCCACGTACAGCATGAGCCCGCAGTCTTAAAGCGGTTCAGGTATCTGATCTTAAGACAAACCTCGCTTCGATGGGTGGTTTTAGTGACACTGCCCATGGCATGCAGCCTGGTGTGTTGGGTGGAAAGTTGGACTGGAAGGAGCAACTAAACTGATATTGGATATACTCAGTGCAAGTTACTAATTTGCTATTCATCAGCCTCACAGATGAGTTAGCTGATACCAAACCTCCTGTGTCCACTAATCCGAATGAGTTGAAACAGCATGCGAGGACTTGCAGTGAGAGCTACAGCTCCCATCTCCAAGGCACGTTGGGACCACCAGACTTCTCGATCGCTGCGAACGCTTCCTTCGAGTTGTCGATTGACAATACGGCGAATTTCATTGTGGCCCGAGTTTACTGGGTTTGGTGGCGACCGAACAATGTCAGGGAGCGCGCAGAGATCCCACCTTTCGAGAGGTGATGAGTTAACGCACAAACTGATTGGTCCGAATTCAGCATTGCATGCTACAAGCAACTCCAAGGTGGTCAATGTCATTGAGCGGAACACAGGGTGGTTTGTTTGTCAATGAGGGTTGACAATCTAGCTGAGCCGACCGATCAGTTAGCCTGTTCGTATCAAGTCTACACTGCCTCCGTCTCGGAAGCCCTCCGAATTGTATTCAGATATTCGCACAAAACAGCGCGTGATCTGAGTCAAGACAAGTAGTCGGCCGGTGGCCGTGGTCTGCACGTTTGTTTTGCAACCATAAGGTCACCGGTTCGAATCCGCATAGGGGTGGGCGTCCTCGCGGTATACTCAGCCCGCGCACGACTGGTGTTGGTCGCGCGGCAGCGAAGCGCCGTTACAGCGTTCAGCTGACACATTATTATTATTATATTGCAGTCTTGTATGCTACCCCACCCTTTGAAACTGATTACAGTGTGATCTATTTGAGACCGGGGCTACGCTGGTAAAGGATGATGCCAGGTGGCAAAATGTCTCCTGGAGTGCCTGAAGTTTCTGTTTTCGAAAAATAGACCGTGGTTTTCACGCAAAGTGAGAAACCTGGCTCTATCCAATCGTTTTTCTTTTAAATGCGTAATGACCATGCGTGTGAAATTCACTTGCTAACAGGCGACCAACTCGTGCGTTGATGTCCACGAGGACAACGACGTCCGATTTTGTTGATTTGCTTAACAACTGATGGAGTTGATGATAGAAGTCATCCTTGATTTATTTACCGCTACAATCGTCTGGCCCATAAGCAAAGACCACAACCAGGTTGCACATTTAACCGCGATGCCTTTTAAACCCTGCGTGAGCCTTGAGGCTGAACTACACATATTCGGCTGTTAACCGGAAACCAGTCCAGGAGTACGGCCCCATCTTTGCTGCTTTATGCCACGCCAGCATCAGCCGAACCTGCTTTAGCTGCTTCTACGTCTCCAAAATTCATGTAGACTGCATGTGGCTTTCTGGTATCTTTTTGAAGGTGTCAATTTGAGCATAGTGCTTGGGTCTTGCAACTGGGTTTCAAAAAGGCAGCAGATATCAAAAGCAGGGAACTCAGAGTACGTGCCAAAGCGATCTGTTTCCCGATCTGCATAAGTGTCCAAACATTAAAGGTTGTCAGCCGAAATCAGGATCGGGGTCGAAGGATAGCCTCAGACCAAACTTTCTGGGCAGTGTCGAAACCGATATCTGGGTTAAATCGAGGGAAACATCGATTAATGACAGCATAGTGGTTGACGTGTGATGTAGTTTGGTAAACGGCAACAAAGACAGGAACAAGAGAGTGCAGCGAAGTAGCAGCGTAATCTACGGTTTTTCACAGAGCACGATGCTATCCGGTTACTCAAGCAGTAGTAGGGAGTTGACTTAGGGGACCCCACTCAGAGCCTTTGGCTCCACAACCTGCCCGCAAGGCAGCATGGTGAATTCAGGGAGTCGCGCCCATTGGGAATCGGTGCCCGCTGTCCCGGTACATACGCTTGTTGGTTGGTAAATTGCCAAACAAAAGGTCCAATCTTCCCGCAATGATAGCATCCAGCTGCTAGGATACAATGCTCCACCGAGGTGAAGCAGGGAGCGGTGACTTTGGTTGTGTGAGTGTTCGCTGAGCTCGGCAGTTTGACTGCAAACGTTTCGTCACCACTCGGTTTGATATCGTCAGTGTGCTATTATGTAGCAGAGCGAGGCGAAGCGTCAGTTGTTGGCTGACAATACGAATTTCCTAGGAGAGTTCGGCGGCGGTCGAGCAGTGCCAGGGAGCGCGCAGAGATCCTATCCTACGAGAGGTGATGAGCTAACCCACAAACTGATTGGCCCGAATTTAGCACTGCATGCTGCAATGCATCGCGCCGCTCCGCTCCGCCATATAATAGCGCACTGACGATGTCACCTCGTGGTGATGAAACTTATGCAGCCAAACTGCCAAGCTCAGCGAACACTCAAACAGCCAACTAGAGAACCTGGGCTGCCAATATTTGTTCCTATATCACAGCACTGACCTTGTCTATTGGCGAGTCACATCCGCCAGTTGCTAAACAAACATCTGTGGCTTTTATGGGGAGAAAGCTTGCCAGGCGAAACCCGCCATATCACAGAACAATGCACCCGAACCATTTACTGGAACGGGAAAATTCCGAACCACCCATCTGGCACCACGGTGAGGTTGTTCGGGAAGCCAATTCATCGTTCCGTTGTGTAACTTTTAACGGCCCCTGAGAGATGTGCCAAAAAGAATACTGATATCATAGCGTAAACTGCGCCTTGGTTTCCATAATCATGGTGCAGGTTTACACTCACGACTAAAGACTCATCAGGTGCCTGTTTGTCCCAACACCACTGAATCTCGACTGGGACCTATATTTCACTTATTAGTTGTTAACGACCTCATTGATTAGAAGCAAAACGGTCTGGTGCTTATCAGACTATGGGGACTGCAGTGTGCTGTTGAACAACACTCGACGAGATCAGATCAGACAGCGTTATACGATGGTCTGAATACATTCGTGATCCACTGAACTACATTGAGGGATGCTTTCCAAATACCTCATATGAGATATGTCAATGGTTAGGAGTCATACAGACTCAATCTCAGTGTCCTTCTTTCTAGTTCAACATAACGATACGTGGCAACAGTTTACGGATTATAAGCTCTGCTTGGTTAGCTTAAAGCAAGATGGAGACTGTCTCTGACGAGGAAACACAAACCTTGCTCAATCCATGTAGCCCTAGTTTAACTATGATCCCGAGTGCGTAAGCCGCTATGGTCAAGAGCAATACAAGAATTGTCCTGAATCCGCCAAAACTGTGTGTGGCAATCCTCACTGGAACTCAGCGGTTACGCTCCTGGGCTGGACCTGCTTCCCTCTTGCTTATGAGTCACGTAGCTCCAGCGAGTCCCAAGCAACTTTCTCTTTATTCCTCTGCTTTGTAAGCCAAACTGTTGTCAGTGTTGAAAATGAGCACCCTCGAAAATACCCCTCCCCGGAAACGAGTGGCCGAAGGATACCATCTGCCTACAAGACACATTCGACGCTTATCTTCTTTCCCATTCCCTTCCATTTTTACGTATCCTCTCTTGACTACCAAACAGAGACCACTGCTGACTTCGTCGGTTGCAGTAACGAAATAGTCGCGACATCTTTCGAACTGAGGGTAGTGTTGTGGATGTGCATTGTAATGCCCACACACTGTTTGATCGATCAGCAAGCGACATTCGCTCTGACTACACTCTCTCTGGGTTGATGTACAGTTGTGCCTCGAGGTGTGTTCATTTAACAAACGGGTCCCAACGATGGGGCTTGCACACTTCGCATCTTTAGTGACACCGAATCACAACAGCTCGCGGCATCGGAATAGCTTCCAGAAAACATGTGACGGCTGTCCTCATAGACTGGAACCCAGTGAACAACCGCTCGGTTATCATTCGATTTCGAGAATCCATCGGGTTAACAAGCAGCGGTTGAGTGTGATGTGTGTTTTTGTCCTTTCAACGTGCTCTCTTACCGATTTAATCCGAAAGCTGTCATGAATGAATTATACCAGAAATTCTTCCCTATTTCGGTGGCTGAGAGTACAAATATCGTGATTGTTGTAATTGGCATGGTTGCTAAAGTAGATGTCAACAAAACCAGTGTCATCTCAGAGACCGTTTTGGGGTCGATGCTACGCTCTGATTACAACTTCGGTCTCTTAAGCACAGCTTCCCAGCACAAGCGCTCACATCGGGTTACACGGCATCCCCCGAATGACAGGTGTCCCTGGACTCAGCTTGATGACATCACTATCATCTACAGAAGATGGACATGTGTGCAACTGTGGCGATTAATGTGGAGTACTCGTCTGGATTCTAACCATCCCCCTGTGCATTCCTGGTTAATACCCATTCTTCCTTCCGGTGAAGTGCCCAACCTTGAAGAACTCTACCCGTCAACTACATTCGCAATCCACGAAGCAGGGGTGTCAGTCTGGATTAAGGCATCAACTGTCATTGACATATGAGGTAGATGAATTTAATGTAGACTCGAAACACCGTGAAACTGCCATTCGAATTGCATTCTGGATCGTTTGTCCCATAACTCGAGGTTTCTGAACAGCAGATGGGTGTTTGAAACTTCATTCGCCTAATTGAATTGGAGCTCATAGCAACTGAAGTCACTTCATTCATGGCAAAAACCAGAACTGTCTTTTTGTATCTGCGACATCTATGGTGACAGAAAGGAGTTTCCCTCCGTCTGAAAGGCCGTCTTATGCTATAGGAATGAGACTTGGCCCTTTCGGTCTGAAGTGCCTCAAAGTCTTTGATCATCGTTGTCTGCGGAGCATTGCTGGTGTCGGGTGGCACCAGCACTTCCGCAACGATGATGTGCGTTGGCGAGTACTAGGCAGTGATAAACAAGCTAGTTCCTTAGAACAGCATCATTACACATTAGCTGAAACTGAGAAACACACTTAAACTATTGTGCCGCAATACATAAAGCTAAGACATGCGAAAAAGCAAGATACTGAGAATTATATAATGCAAAAAACGAGTACCACACTACTTAGCAACATATTATGTGTCAAGAGAAAGATCGTGGATGGAGGAAGGATAAGCTGAATGGGGAGGGAGAAACTCACAACACAAACGCCACTGAGGTCGGCTCCTTGCCATGTCAACCAGAGAATCCAACCAGACGTGTTCATCATCTTTCGGATTCTAGCTAGGCGGTCGGGACACACCAACCGACGCCAACTTCGAAGTGAGGGGTTTCATTCCTCTTGACCAAGTCACCGCTTGGCCACCCCTCCTCTTCTTCCATCTATATCCCCGGCGCGCAAAACAACGCACGACGCGGGAGTCGGTGTGCTGGCACGCTCAACACGTGGCCCAGCCATCGGAGCCTGGTGCGTGATATAACGGTGCTGAGCGGTTCATTCGATTTTCCTGCACCAAATACACGATACCGAACAGGCTCATTACTCACGCGGTGTTCCCACCAGACGTGAAGTAAGCTGCGAAGGCAGCGATGATCGAACTTGACTAGCCTCTTTATGTCTGTCTCTTAGAACAACAGATAGTGCTGAATAAGTTGCGTTGGCTTGGGCACGTATTACGTATGCCCGGTCACCGCATGTTTTATCCGCCAGATGTAGAGTGATACAGTGCTCGAGGTAGACAAAAGTTGACTTGGCAGCGGGAAATGAAGTCACAGCCGACCAAACTCGGTGCCACCGGTCCGTCTCGCCTTCCAGATTGGAGTCCATGTGACTCGCCTTGTGCTTGGCTCACATTTGACACCAGTGGCGTGTCTGCTGCCGTCTAGTCGGACTGTCTGCTTAGTGTTTTGTCTTGAGTTATATGCGGGGTAATGGCTGATTATGACGCGTGGCAGTGAAAGCCGCAAGGGATCTGTCTCGCCGATGTCGCTTTATCTTTACACGTAGCCAGTTGCTTGCGACGGTATGTTGTTGACAAGTTGTAAGCGCCTGGACCCTGAATGTTTGTTTATAAGTCCCTTTTCTCTCCCTTCTATTATTCTTCGTTTCGTAGGTCGTTGTATGGCAGCGAAGTATCAGTTTAAATGTATTATGTCTTGTTGTCGATGGCGATGATTGGAGCAGGTAAAATAGTTCCATTCAGACTATTGTGTGTTTGTGACACACAAAAACGCTGTTTGACTAGCAGACTCGAAATTGAGCGGAAGCGTTGTTGGATGGTTGAAGCCCGTAGGATGGAGACCAGTCCGCTGGAAAAAGCCGGATTACTGATCCAAGTTATTCCACACACAGGCCAACGAAATGTCCCCATATATGAGTCCGTCACTGATTGACTAGACCACTCTCAGTCACGTCGGCTCAAACAATTCAACCGACTTGGCTTACCGACGTTGCGAGATGGATCATTTGAACCCGTTTGAGTCGTTGACGTGTCAATTTCCACCACGAACGAAATCAGGCGCCAGCCAGCGCTGCTGAATCGGTACAAGGTACCTGGCCCCAACAACCGACTATCGTTGTTGTAGGGGGGAATGATTCACTAGTGATTATCCCTGCCTCTCGACACTGTCTGGCTCAAAGAGTGCTCGCTAACTGGCAGTTGTCGATTATCGTTTCCGCCTTTAAAAGAGCCAAAAGAATTCCTCTTTAAAGCATCTTGGTGTCAGCCTTTTCTCAATGTATCGAGGTCGGGGCATTGTTACTCCACATAGGCTGTACTTAAATGACTAACGTGAGCTTGACATATCCCCTAATAGATTGTCAGAACTCGCTGCACTGGACACAAGTGTCCGCTCGTCCGATACTTCCACCTCGTCTACTGGTTTCAAAAGACTGCTAGTCATTGTTGTAATAAACGGATTGCATATGCACAGTCTTCGTGACAGTGCCAGACTCAAGGAGTTCCTGCATCGGTAAAGTTTTTCTGTAACCGAACGTAATCAGTCTAAGTCCCGCTTATCCTAGAAATCGATTACAGATCGTTTTTTTGTATCAAAATTGGCATTATTCAAAATTCTGATTTGTAAGTGAAATTATGTTGTGATTTCACTGAATTTTACTAAGTCGTTTTGGTTTATCACAGGAAACGGAAAACAGATAAAGTGAAACCCAGTATGCTTCCTCCATCGAAACGGAAAAAAATGGCGTGCCCTGACTTCGATCCATCAGCAGATAGCGATACCGGGTCCAAGCTCTCAGAACTGGACAAGAGCTCCATCCGTGATCGATCGTGAGTGCGTTCTCATCTAATTTCTTTTTTATATAGTTTAGATGCCGCACTTCAGCATCCCTCTGTGCGTACTCTTGAACCACAGTCAGTTATATTCTTCGGCTCAGCTCGCTCAACGCATCCATGTGCGACGGATCCAGTGACCTGGACGCATTTTATTCAGATCATAAAAAGTAACAAAGTGAAATTGTGTGAGAGATGAAACCAAACTAACATCTGGTCAGGGAAACTCGTTACATGCAACTGGGCGTTATTGGAAGTAAGTAATCGGGAATAAACGTGATATTCCTTTCCACGGATCCGGGTCATATTGAGTTCCAACCACTGACACAGTCGATTCTACAGAGCACTCACGCAATGCAATCCTTCGGGTCAGATTCCTTACAATCCTGTGACCGCGCATCAGCGGATGCCGTGCCAGAAAGAAGCATACACGTTGATGAGCAACTCGTTAGGCACGCGAACGTGTACATTCGGTGTAACCAACTCAATTATAACAGACTACCAACTGTAGCACCTGGAGGGTTCTGTTGCCAAACACCAGTCGGCGAGCACTAGCAATATAGACAATGCCTCGCAACCAGTGGTGGTAAAGCACAAGCATTTTATTAGCGCACCCGATGCTTGCAGCGACACTGGGTATAATTTAGCTCTGTGCACTTTGCTCCTGATCGTTAACCTCATATCGCATCGTCCCCGTACGTGACCGATACCTTGAAAAGCCAAACAGGCCTTACGAATATGCACAATATCCTCTTCGGTAAGCTGACCTCCAAACGCCCGTTGCAAATAATTGTTCCAAGACAACGAGGATCAGCGTGTCATCCCACCCATGCGCACCAGTACTAGTCTGGAATACATGCTTGAATTGGCGGTACATTAGATGAAGCTGCTCAGCAATTTCTGCATTGGGACTGAGTTTGACTTTGATAGGACTACATCTTTCACATATCACATGTCATTCACCTAACTGAATAGTGTGACTCATGACCTAGGTAAAATGTTTTGCCCGCCATTTAGTTATCTGAATATATCTGGGTATTTCCGAGGTACTATCAATAGGCGATTGTCCTGGTGTTTCTTACATCAAACCCTGCGAAATACATTCCTATCATATGTCGCATGGTGTCGAGAGATCACCCGCCCCAACCATCGGTAAGCCACCATCCTATTTCGGTGGCGATGACGGGATCGGGAGCCTTGTTATGTTTCAGTTCACATAGATGTTGATAGATCTCATCAATGCTAGGAAGAGTTGTAACGTACGCGAAACGGATAGAAAAAAATCGCCGGCTGTACGCTGTAACGGTGCTTCGCTAGCACGCGACCACCACCAGTCGCGCCGTGCTGCGAATATTGCGAGCACTCTCACCCCTACCTGGATTTGAACCGGTGACCTGATGGTTACAAACCAGACGCGCAGGCCACTCGGCGACCGGCCGACAAAATATGGATAGAACACTGAAGACTAAGTCCTGTAACAGAATGTGCTTCCCAGAGAAATGAGTTTTGCTCAGGTTCGCATCTGTAGTCTTCGGTTCCAAGTTCAGTTTACTTCAGCAGAATCAATCGTAACCTAGTTTTTGCCTTACTGACGGGTGAATGCGTGTCGTATAAATTTTTGCTGGTTTGCAACAGTACACACTTGTGGCTCATACACCGCGGTGGGAGCTTGGCAAAGGAACTTTAGTGAGGGATACTCAATAAAATTCATCACGGTTATACTCAACTAAGCCGACATCTACGAAATGTACCGAGCTACTGTTTTCTCCTTTCAGATGCTGTTTGTCGCGCGTATTCCTTTCAGTCAAAGTACGGATACACTACTTCATCGATTAAACCCGTCATTCGCCTCGCGCGACTGCGCATGTGTGCATTCTCGATCCACTCTTCGTTTAGAGATACTTTGTTGAAACCGGTCGCTGTAGTAGAACGGATCTACTCCATTGCTCTTTTTACGTTTGAAGCCATGAGTCTTGTTAGATGCGTTTTTCCACATTTACATCAGTTCATCCTCTTTTAGAAATCTCCGGCATTCGAGGCAAAAAGTGATGATCCAGCCATCATTGCCGCTACACACTTTGACGAGTTTCGCCTTCGGTAAACCGCTGCGATTTGAGACTTTCCGTCCCATTCCTTGACACATGCTCCCCAGTCCCCCTCGCCACACCATAGGCTCTCATTGATAGCTTAGGTATGCTTCGAAATACTGCAGGTATCCTACCTGGGTTGCGTAACTTCGCATCAGTATAAATACCTATTGCTGTGTTTTCAGATATGCTGTGGGTGTCTGATTCCTCGCCGGAGTGCACCCATTCCCTTCTCGAAATACTTAACTCATGGCTACTGCTTTCCTCCCAGTACTCAGCGGGCTCACAGAGCCGCCAATCGGGAGAAGTTGCGTCGCACTCTCTTCGTGGGCAATCTACCAATGGGCATCACACGCAAAGAGTTAAAACGGCTATTTAATCACGCGCTCAAGCAAAATGCCAAATCTTCAAAAGCCGGATGTCAAGTGGAATCGGTTCGATTTCGCGGCGTAGTAGCTCCCACCGGAGGCACCGGAAGATTGGCTAAGAAGCGTGCAGCCATGCTTAACGAAAGTTCAGGTGTGTTATCTTTTGTTGTTCGGTTCGTGCCGATATTCGTTATTCCTTGCAGATCATAACACACTTCGCCTGTTTTACGTGCGATATGGTAAGTCTCATTAAGTATCGCCGGTTGATGTCATCAAATTTCCAATTACGTTCGCTAGCTCTCTAATGGTTCCCCACTGATACCGGCCGTTACGTAGAGCCTCAAGCAGAGCTTCTTTCTAGTCCACTGAGTCTCTACACATAATAAATTTCCCGTATGGTCTGAAGATCACGCAACCCACAGACTCTTTGATCAGGTGTGCCTTTTTGCTTAATTATCACCAATCCAAATGTGCACCCGCCTCAGTATCAAAAACATCCAACAGGTGGCCTTTCCGAATATTAGACACCGTTGTTAGTACCACTAATAGCCGTGTACGTCGTCTCAAAGACGCAGCGCGCTGATCTCGTCTAATCTAAGATTCGAATACTCGCTGACCCCTAGACTTGTGATATCATCATCCCGACTGGAAGGTGCATAGACACAATGTAATGTGGTAATTGCTTTGATATGGGTCACATTATCGCATTGGACATAGAAGATAACTGGCGAGATCAGATACGTCAGAATGCTTATGCCACTGTATGCTGTTTGTGTACCTGAGTCATTGAGACACGCCCCCTTGCTACTCTCTTCCGTTATTTTGCTTTCACTACAGCGGCAGTCTCCCGGAATCTGATCGCCTACGTTGTTTTGACTTCGCCAGTTGGAATGTCAGCTGCTATGGCACTTAATGGTCATCTTTTGCAGGCTGAAAAGGTAGTGGTGGATCTGCTAGAAGAGGGGATCTCAGATAGCCGTCCAGTTGGCAAACCCACTCACATTCGGGTAGACCACGCTGGTGGCGAAGGCCGACTTTTTCCCGCTCAGTGCGTCTTCCTTGGGAATTTGCCATTCGATGTACAAGAGGATGAGGTGCGTTTATCCCATTTAATTCGACCATCACCCCAGTAACATATATCTGCTAATCACTACTCTGCTCCCTTTCAGGTTCGTGAAGCGATGTCCGGTTTCGGGCAAATTTCCAACGTTCGGCTCGTACGTGATAGACTGACTGGGGCTGTGAAGGGTTTCGGTTTTGTGCAATTCGTTGACCCTTCTGTGGTTTCCTTAGCTATCCGGGCCTCAGGTACGGTATCCATTCGCAACCGATCCATCCGCATCGAACAGTGGCAGGCCGGACCCAGCAAGCAGAGCGAAGGTACAAGGCACTACACGCAGAAGTCGCACAAACGCCCCCACCAACCTCGTTTACGTACCGATAGAAAAAGTTACCCGAAACTCCAACTCACCGGACAAGTAAAGGGAGTCACTCTACCCAGCAACTTGCGTGGCGCACAACGTCAACGCTTTTTACAAAAACGGTTGATCAAGAAACAAAAACGTGTCCGTAGCCGGCAGCAAAAGCTCAGCGCAAATCACACAACCAAAAGTAACTAATTTACCAGCTAGATTATTCTGTAAAAAATGAATAAAATTTTTCCATCAGCTTTCTGTCATGCGTCTTCGCATATTTCCCAGAGCGTGTGCCACCTAAAGTTAACCCAAACCACGCTGCAAGATATCTGAATGTCCTGCTTCCGATGTTTCCTGCAGTCAGAAGCACGAGGAGTGATAATGATAATGAGCTGCCGACGGTTCCAGATTACTATGCTGATATGGTCCTTGCAGATTGAATGCTAGCTAATATCAATTGCTCTCTCACTTCACATAGATCAATTACGTAAGAATTGCTTTTCGTATTCTTGTGAGACTTGTCATTTTGACACCCACCATTACCATAGTAAACAAGGCGTCTCGCGGTGCCTATCCTCTTGTATCACCAGTGCTTACACAGACGTGAAGCGGAGGGTTTGAGTGCTTCGGCACGAGCGTGTGTGGGCGCCATCTATCTATTCTCAAATTCCGAGACACATTTCATTTAATACGATCAGTTAATCTACCAAAAACGACACGTAGGTTCACTTGTTAGTCGGTTGTGGGCACAAATTTTGCTATGGAGTCATCATTACACATTAGCTGAAACTGATAAACACACTTCAACTATTGTGCTACAATACATAAGGAAAAGACATGCAAAAAAGCAAGATACTGAAAAGTATATAATGCAAAAAACGGGTAACACACTACTTAGCAACATATTATGTGTCAAGGGAAAGATCGTGGATGGAGGAGGGATAATCTGGATGGGGAGAGAGAAAGAAACTCACAACACAAACGCCACTGACGTCGGCTCCTTGCCATGTCAACCAGAGAATCCAACCAGAGGTGTACATCATCCTTCGGACTCCAGCCACGCAGGCAGTCGGGACACACCAACCGACGCCAACTTCGAAGTGAGGAATTTCATTCCTCTTGACCAAGTCATCGTTTGGCCACCCCTTCTCTTCTTCCATCCACATCCCCGGCGCGCAAACAACGCACGACGCAGGAGTCGGTGGACTGGAATACTTAACACGTGTGCTAGCCATCGGTGCGTTGAGTGGTTTCATGTGTTTTGGTAACCCATTGATAAATGGCTGAGAGCGTCCAAGTCCAAAATGAACGACGAACCGCTTTTGTTTAAATTTAGTCCTGCCGCTGTTTGTTCACCAAAAACCTGCACAATCACGCATGGAGGCTGCGATCAGCGAACTATATCGGACTGTTTGGCCGCAGCAAATGAAACGGGACCTGAGATCCCATTTGTAGAATTTGGCGTTCCTCACCCACACCTATGCCGCACGTCTTCACACCTGTTTCGCTTGTTTTCTAAACCATCTCCCAGCCATCAAATCCATACCTTGCCGATTACTTAGCAGTATTGCTGCTGTCTATGACTTCTGGCCACTTATATATGTAAACCGCAACGATAGAATTACTCTAATTCTTCGCCATACGGATAAGACATAGTGTCTGCAAATAATAGCTCCCCTTTCACAGACTCTAAGCTACAATTGATAGAGGCGTTCCGATACGTTGGTCACTAACCCCTGTTGCGCATAGGATTGAAATCACGCACATGCGGCATTCCGCTGGGATCTATCCGAACGAAGTACTCTTTACACTGGAACATAACGCATGTGAATATATTTTGCTCAATGTCCGACAACCTTGGAATAGACAAGAAGTTGGTTGGACTAACACACCGCATGCAAAAGAAACGGGACTAGTACATATGTGAAGTCTCGATCTCTTCAAAATTGTAACTGTGTACCACAGTTCTGGTTAGCTAACAAGAATGCACGCACATCTGCTGACTCTCAAAAGTGCTAAGAGAAGTCAGTGGGGTAATTATCCACTTGAATGCTGCATAAGTCAAATGATCCTAAGTAGTATGGTGATGAAACCAACTGACGGCAGCTGCAAAGTGGCGAAAAGCGCGAACCCCAACCTGCCAATGAAAGCGTTCAGCCCAACGCTCCGAGATTGTATTTTTAATCCCTCGCATGTGCAAACAAATGTGGTTTGCTACAATACATTTCCAAAAATCGTTCTGTAGTCTGATTCGTAGTTTCTATGCCCTTTTGCAGAGGACATTTCGCGGGTCATATAGGGTTCGTTTCTGGGCAGCATTCTCTGGCTGCTGTCAATCGAGTCAACCAAGTTCTTAAAACCATAACTACGTGTATTATAGTGCTACCATGCGCTAATGATGTCGCGTGAACTCAGCTGGAGGCCGATAAAATCTTGTGACATTTCGTAAGTTGATCTACCCTGGACACATTTCCGATTGGTTGTCACGAATGCTAAATTACAATGTAACCCATACAATTGTTGGCATTCGTTTGGGCGCATTGCTCGATGATAAACGCTTTCAGTATTGCTGATGCAACACGCACTTTCGTTCGGCCAATATTTGAGGAGCTACTGGTCATCAATTGCGCCAATACCTACTCGTCAGTTGTTTAGTCTACCGAGTCATCTTCGATTGTCCCACCTCGTACAAGACAGGGAACTGAAAAATATGAAGCGTCGCCGTGACAACTCGCGAACGGAATTGAACGAAAGGAGGAAAAAAAACCATTCAACTGGTCATCGTTGATTGTGAAAAAAGTGATCTCTTTACAAGGGAGTGACAAAAGCCTGCAGTAATTTACAAAGGATATTTGTGAAGGAACGACGTCAAAACGAAGGTGAAATATGAACCACAATGAGAACGCGAATCACTCGTCCTCTGTGGGCAACGACGAATCCGAAATCTCCTCCTCTTCCATTGTTTCCCAGGAAGAATCTGAGTTTACGCCGCCGGCTTCGTTATCTCTCGCTGTGGGAACATCTGTTGCGTCTACGCCAGAGAGCCGCTCTACGGAGCGCTGTAAGGTATGCGATCGGCTTTGCAATCGACGTGAACGGCGTCTCGGGACTCGCTCTGGAGAGTCGGCGCTAGACGCAGTCCAGCTGCTTGATTCTGACATACTCGATGTGTCTTCATTGCCTGAAGACCCATCCAATATTTGAGCCAGCTCATCCGCAGTTTCGGCGTTAAGCAGGTCGTCATCATCGTCCTCATTATCGTCATCGTCATCATCCTCGTCGTCGTCGTCATCTTCCTCACGGGGCTCTTCATCTTCATTGTCTGGCTCCCGCTCGCCCTGAAATAAAGTGTCAAGACACGTCAGATGAGTAAAGTATTAACTGACTCAATACTTAAGCATAGCTTTCCATACTAGGGAACGAGCTCAAAATCGTGGTAGTGTTATGTCAAGTGCCACCAGGTGCAGTGGACTGCGTCGACCCAACTGCACTACTAGGTGTAGGAAAACAGCATGCATAAAAATTGAATGCGTAATTAAAAAACCGTTGCCTGGCCGGTGAGCGAACACAAATTTGGACGCCGAACACATACTGCCGTTTAACTAAAAGTGCTACCTATCTCGAGGAGCAGTACAGCATGAAGCGAGGGTGGATAAATGCACGTCACAGTGAAAAGCACTCACCCTTTTGCGTCCGACAAGGTAAATTCGACACTGAGTTATGGGTTCGTTGCTTCCGTTCTCGCCCACTTTCTCAATCAGCGCCAGTGACTGACCAGTTGTGTCCAAAGAGAGTTGCTCTATACGATGTCGAACGTCCACAGAAGCGATAAGGCTGTAATCGAGTGCATCGATAGTGCGGAACATGTTCTGCATCACCACTCGCTTGCTGCCAAGCTCAGCATACTCGTCGTCATCCCACCCGAAATTGCCTGCAATTCAAGGAATAGACAAGAATCGGTTAACTCAAAATATTGTGGTGAACTCTTGTGGAAAGAACTACGGCTCACCAGCATAAATGACATCCTTCGTGGCGTTGAATTGTATCTCCAAACGGTCCAAAGCCTGGATGGTGTGAAGGAGGCGCCATGTTCGCACATCCCACACCGCGGATCCCACAATGATCTCTAACCCATTGGGATGAAACACACCGGATACAAGGTTTTGTAGTTTGTCAATCTTGTGCACTGGTGCGTATAGGGATCCTGGTTGAATCAGACCGTTGCTTCTGTACGATGAAGTGCCAGCGCAACAGCGTAGGTCCCAAACAACACCATCGTTGAGGACTAGCTGGTCACAAGGGGAGAAAGTGGCCTTGTTTAGCATGTAACCGCTTTGTTTGGCAGCCGAGAATAGATCCGCGATGCGGGCTCCTGTTCTGAGGTCGAACACCTGGGTAGGGGGGGATGTCAACATGAACAGCTCTTCGTGAAACAGACACTAATAGAGGAGGGAAAATCCCAGTAGACAGTGGGTAAGGTCTTCACAGATCAGAGAAATTTTCCAAAATGAGAGTAGATAAGACAGCTGACTCACTAAACTTCCCGAATGATATAATGGACAGATCAGATAGAGTGTGCAACATGTGATAAGTGATACCGGAACTCGTGAACACGGAGTTTGAATGCAATAGAAAAAGTAATTGGTCAAGTCATTGAATTAACTCAGAGGCCAGTAAATTTGTTCAAAATGCAACCGAACACAACACGGTCCACGTTGACGGGGCTCATGGTCTTAAGAATCACAAGCCTGCCTTGTAATCCGAGGGCGCGGGTTCGAGCCTACGTATGGGGAATGGGCGACCCTCGCTGGTGGTTGCGCGGCAGCGATTATGAATCACTACGTGCCTCCGGATGTACGGGGTTGGGTAACCGTTCTCTTGCAACGTATTTCAGTATACGGTTCCTCCATGTCTGAGATCTAGAAAATATAAGCAACGAACAAGGTTCTGTTTGCAATTCAAGGCTACGAAACCGAGAAAATGCGTGTATTGACCAACCCACGTCGCTTTCCAAAATATACCTCTTTCTAGCGAACCGTCTTCCTTTTTCTTTAACAAAACGTCCAAGAAGAGCACTTTATCATCGTTATCGATTTCATTGATAAATTTCAACGATGGATGTACACTGTTTACCTGGTCCAACACGCTAGAAACATTGTCTGAGCCACAGACAAAAGGAATCAAATGAAGAGATGATGGGTTGCATAGGTTCATGTCAGTTGCATCAAGAGTTCCATACTAGAATACCTGGTCGAAACTGGATATTAAATCAAGACTGTTGATACTTTCAAAGCATTACATTTCGTGCCAAAACGCTACACCAAATGGCTTAGGAAACGAATGTTACGGACGGTCGAAACCATTGTGATCATACTAACATATTCTGAGCTTTTCAAACAGGGAACACTTGTCCAAGCTCTCCTTCTTCCCTGGGATTAACGTACTTACAGACAGCTTTCACTCTACACGCTGGCAGGGTCCGGGTGATGTGTGTCACCGAACCGGTTGAAAAGCACCTTCTCTGTCCCGTGAGTATATTTGTGTGTCTATGCGTGCCTACATGCTGTGGTAGCAAATGTTCGAGTAGATCGACCAATTTATCAAATAAAACAACTCGCTTTCTGTCTGCTGATCCCGCCAATCTCTATCACACTTCACCAGCCTATCCTGTTCCAACTTTCCATTTTATAATTGCAAACACTTGATGAGATTTATCGAAAAAAATGCTCCTCGCAATCTTGTGTTCTAACTAAGTCTAGGATCACTTCGAAAACACCAAAAACCTTACTACTCTCTAACAACTGCCAGGGATGACATATGGTGCCATGAGATAACTGGCGGCTTAGCGAGGGAAGCGTGATTCTGGAGGCCAATCGTTTCCTCCGAACAACAGCAAGGAGCATGGCAGTGCAGGATGAGGAACACTACCTCGCAGCTGGTAATCAATCACCGCTCTCGCTTATGGCTCAGTGGCCTAAGTCGCTAACTGGTAAGAGAAGTCACAGATTCAAGTCCTGTTGGAGTAATGGGTTGATGAACGGATCCACGCAAGTGGCATTGAATTGATTTTCGTTCGTGGCAACAGTGCGCCTTACCAGGCGAATGTATGTCATTCAGAATGGATTGAGCGCTGTTCTCTGATCTATTCGGCAGAAGTTTAATCTAACCGAAAAATAACGATGTACTGAAATCGCTCGTTGAATCGGCGAAAGCACGTTTGAGTTATTGTTTTACGGTGTTGGTGGTATTAGAACGACTTTTGGCCTCGAGTGTTGCATTAGCGACCTTTCAAGCGATGTTAGTCACGATTTTCAGTAAGCCAACGCGTTGGTGGCCATTAAATGTGCATAGTCTTCATGCGACCACCGTCAACTTCTTTGAGGACGAATTTTTTAATAAGACTATTGGAACGCTCTACCTGTTTGGTGATTTCGGCGTTAAAGATTACCAAGAAGTGGGTCTCAGAAGTCAAACAATGACGGGCTACTGATTAGTTAGAACGACATCGTCCCACTCGAGACAGGCTGTCCTGGTAATGCGAATGGAATCTGCAACGTAGCTATGTTTGCAAAACTTGATGTATGATATTAAAGTTGACCACGAAGGAAGGAGTGATTGACTGGGTGTGCATTTATGAGCCCTAAGTGGCACTGTCGCGGAGCAATGCGAAATTCCAGGAGTGTGGCGCAACGCGTGTCCAACAAGCGGTTAGAGGTGATTTGGATTCGACCCGAGATATACACAGCCAATGGCAACTGCATTTGAATGACGATAACGCCCGTTTCATAATGTTGGCACGCGAAACAAAATACAGTACACGTTAGGGCAAGGGCATTAAGCACTGGAGATGAGACAAATGGGTAACGTTTACTTTGAATAGGAAAAAATACATAAGATAAAATAATAAAACTGCAGAGACGCACCTTTGCCATTTTCCCATGTGTGGCGACGATACGATCCTGTGTACCTGTGTTGCTGAACTCCGCGTAACGCGCCTCTGACACGTGAAATCTGAGGCAATGAAACAAAAAAGGTTGCAACGAATATCAGGTTGATCGAGAAGTCCGAAGTGAAGAAAGAGGTCTCACAATTGGAATCCAAATGAGTCTAATTTCATAGCATCTCAGGAGTACGAGGTGTACAAGTGGAACATAATCAGTGCGAACATACACGAAATCATCGGATATCGTCTCCCAGGGGCTGTTGTTGCTGGATCCGGTCCCGCTAGAGGGTCGCAGACGGGCGACCACTGTGGCTGGCTCGCCCCACTCGCAGCATACCAGCAACCGTTCTCCATCTCTTGTGTGAGCGAGACGGCGAATGGTCGAAGTTTGGAAGTGCGATAGCTCTACAGGCATACCGTCCTCCTCCACGTTGACCCACGCGATTGCTCCAGAGGTTGTTCCGAGAAACAGACCATCGTCGGTGAGCTAGGGAGTGGGAGTGCGACGGTATAGGTTGCAAATTAATGCACAGTCTTGATAGGTGGAAAGATATAAAACATATATGTATGCATCGAAGGCACAACGACCCCACTGCGGCAGGTGATCGCATACCACCTAGATATCCGGTTCTTAACCTGCGAGATGGTCGTGGAGACTGGGGAGGCAGATAAATGTATAAAAAACGCCGATAAACATATTTGTAAACCGGATTATCGATAGCAAATGAAGAACGCACCGAGAAGCAGGAGGCAGTAAGTAAATCGTCTTCAGCCTCGCGGATCACTGCAGTGGCTTGGAATCTCCGGTGCAAAAAGTGCCGATCTTCCCTGCGTGACGGGCGAAGTCTCAAAGACCCATACATGATTTCACGTGCGAGTAAGCGCTGACAAAAGTTGCTCTGTTTGTTAACGCGGGGCTCTGGGCATCGATGTGGATGATGAAGCGAGAACTTGGGACACATTGATACGGGGTGTGGACACTGAGCGTGCTGATGCAGGAGAAAGGATTCGACCACTTTCGACAATGTCATCTCTGGTGTAGGTTGGGTTGAGATCGGTTTCAAGTACAAGTTCGGAATACTAGGTCGCTCAAAACGATCACGACATGCCTGTTGGGAGCAAAGGGAATGATATGTTATCTTGAGGAGGGAACGCACAAAAATGTGATGCCCTACCGTTATAACATACGACAAATGGATGAGAAGGCGGTGCGAGAAATGAGTCGTTCGTAAGAGGGCGAGAAACGATGGTTGATTCAATGGTCAAGTCTTATGAGTAAATGTGTGGGTTGATTGGCCGTGAAGAAGCATGGCGCAACTTTAAAAAAAATGTGGTATTGCTTTGTGGTAACCATATTTTCTGACTAGATATGAGATGGGTACGCCCACTATGAATCTAGTCGAAGGAATGGGTATTCCAACAGAACTCGTGTTTGCGACTTTTACAGCGTCTTGTGTGAAACTATGAAAAACGTGACCTACTGGACGACAGCATCATGTACGTTGCCTGTTCATAGAGAGACCCGTTCCAAAGTGCTACGTCACTGTAAAACAACTGGATGTGATATTTCTTCAGAAATAAACAGGACTTCCCCTGCATGCAGTCTGGTTCGGTCGTTCGTTATACACACGATGCCGATGCAACCTCAGAGTACTGAAGTCCGTCAACCGAGAACTGATCGGCAAATTTGTGAAGTACATGATATCATTTGGAAATGTGCCGGGGACGATGAATCCTAAGTCGTCTTTGCACATTGAGAGGACTATTAACTTATTGGGCTTCCTCATGCACTCGCCCCAGAGGAATAGAGGTTTCGACTGATATTCCGAATGTCCAGGGTACGAGTCGCAGTCCTACTATCTGTGCGTGTGTGTGACGCGTGCAAAACTAGTCGCAGAGCACAGTGTTGCGAGCGAGCAACAGCCAATTTTCACCTGCGGTTGTAGTGACCGAATTGGCCCAAGTTCACTTCAAAGTGAATTGCGGTGTGTACCTTAATCCAACTCACACAACGGGTGCTTTAAAATGACCACTCAGATTATACACTGCCTTCGCTTCGAAGTAATAGGCGAAAGTCGCAGTGTGTGTGGTGGCACATGACCTGAATGGACAGCGTCCGATGGACACAACTCCTATCTGAGATGGAAGCGTATCGAGGACCTGAGATGCCCTTTCACGACTGGTAAGAGCCAGGAATCGCGTTCACCAACTTCAAACACACGTAAGCCCCAAGCAAATTCGTCGCTTAAAGTCACCTCATGTCGTTTTTTCACGACAACAGTAAGAAATATGATGTGGAATGGCAATCATAACAGATTATTGCACCCATCTAGTGCAGCGCACGTATTTTATGCTAGAAAAAAGTGGAACACACATCGCAGACTCAATGGGACGGGAACACAATTCATAAAAAATCGAATGTGTGCGAAGGCCAACACGACAGGTTGCATAGTTTGACCAACCACAATCTGAATACGGTTGAAGTGGCTATCTGGAATTTCGGACACACCTTTGGAGTTTGGGTCGAGGAGGTCGGAGGACGAACTTTAACTAAACGAAGGTTTGGTGTCACCGGTGTGTCCACAGGCGTCTCACCAGCCAATCCAGTGGTGTCTACGGGGTGCGCATCACGAACCGTTTTGCTGCACTCAGATGTCACTGGCTGAGCGGCTGCGTTGGTGATCGAGGCTGCGGGTGTGATATCCATGGGAATGCAGCCAGGATTCGGCTGGTAAGGAGGCGTTTCCCCAGGGGGGCGACTGAAGTCGTCGTACAACGGAAGCTGACTGGGAGTGTTGTGAACGATCTTCAGACGCGCCTCTTTCTGTAAAGATTCGGCAGTTGCATGCAGACCTGAGTGAAGCGGAAAGGATTCGTGTAATAGGTAAAATGAAGTAACATAGTAAGGATGAACACACCAAATAATTCGGTTAATTCGTCGGCCATGATCTTTGTCACGCATTGTAGCGAATCAGGTTACCTAATATGGTACCGACCACAACGAGTACCGAACACTGCGCTATTTGGAGTGAAAAGAAGCAAAAGCAGTATAACTTCACCGCTATTTAATCGAAAAGTCAGAAAAAACCTGTTATTTGCCAAATGGTGAATTGTTCCTTATGTTCTCTTGCACGAAATTGTAATAGTTTAAGTAAAATAATCACAAATGTATGGTGTCATAGTCGATGGATGTGAAGCCCACAGAAACGAACAGCTGTCCAGTTCGTTTCGGTTTATCAACTATGATCCGGGCACCGAAGTGCGGTGGATCCAGTTGCCACGATTCATGTCGCAATAAATAACAACGGCAAAAATATTTTAAAATATCTCAGCTATTGTGCCACAGTACATAAGAAGAAAAAATCTGCGACAGTGGCACACCAAGTGAGTCACCATTAACGGATGGATATCGTTCCAGAGAGTTCCCAGTCGGTTATTGTGTCGCAAAAAGAGTTACATTATGCCTAGAAAATGAGACTGTGGTTGAAGATGGAGGCTAAGCGGGAAGGGGCAAAGAAACACAACACAAAGGCCACTGAAGTCGGTTCCTAGCCATGTTAACAAGTGTATCCAGCCAAGCGTGTTCAGTCTTTCGGACCCTAAACCAGGGAGCCGAGAGGCTCCAACCGAGGCCAACTTCAAACTAGGACTTCATTTCTCTTGACTAATTCATCGCTTGGCCACTCCTCCTCTTTTTCCATCTACATCCCCGATGCGTAAACAACGCACGTCGAGGGAGTCGGTGGGCTGACATGTGCAACACGTGGCCCAGCCGTTGGGTCGAATGCAAGTAGAATGTAAGGAAAATGGACTCAAGAAGTAAATGCGGTAAACGAATCGAGATGGAATGAAAATTACCGGTTAGATGCAAGAAACTGAATGCAGGAACGCCACTGACTGCGCCATGTTTGATAGGGTCTCCAACCACTGGTGTATAACATCCGGAGGCCCCCATCCACGAAGACGGCACGCACCAGCCTGACAAAATCCCTCAGTCAGTTTCTTCATGCATCTGTGCCACGTCATAGGCTGGCAACCTCGCGGTTTCACCTAACTTGGTGCAGCCACGGCGTATAATGCACGCCGAGAAGCCGGTCAACTGGCATACGAAGGACATGGCCTACTCAACGTAAGCTATTAAAATTCAGCAAACACTCAAGTGAGGCAGCAGAAGCTTTCTTGTCATACACCAACCGGCGGACCTCAGTAATGCTCGCCCGGTGTTCCCACCAGGTATGAGCATCGGTGACCAAACACGGCCGAGCGTCGATTGTCTTCGCCACGAATTGGCCAGGTCTCTGATCCATAGAGTAAGACCGGCCTTACCGCAGCGTTATACATTCTACCTTTCACTGACAAGCTGATATCATGCTGTCTCCATAGATGGTTGAGTTCCCGGAAAGCCACACGAGCCTTGCTGATAGGCGAAGGAACTTCCTCAATGTTGTAGTTAACAGAGATGGCACAGCTACCAATGTAAGTGAACCGATCCAACACTTCCAGTGGCTGTTCGGTGATCGAACAGGTAGATTCAAAACTCCCTCGAACTGCGACATTGATTTTGCCTCTATTGTGCTACGGTGAACTGTTTCAGACATTCGCTACTCGAGGCACTGAGAGTGGGCGATTCGTTTCAGACCCGGCACCACCATGTGTTGCATAATGTTCGCGGGTGCAGTATTTGGCCTCAACATGAGATCCGCGAGATTTATAACACGGTAGGTCATGATGAGATCGACTCGCACCCGACGACAGGAAAGGGTATACTGTTCTAGTCTCCTCGTCAATCTTCGTATGAAATACCCCGTAAACTGGAGATGCGCCTAGTTACGAGGTGCTGGAATCTTTAGATCCTGCGCACCGCACTCCGGGTGACTGGACAGTAGGCGGGCGAGTCATGTGCTAGCATTGGTCCTATGATGAAGTAGAGGCGAGTGATGAGTTCTCCAGGCTATATACAAGCTGCGTTTGAGCGCCCAAAGCGCGCGCAGTCCGTTACTTAGTAACCTGTTCGTGCTGTCAACGGACTTCAGATCGCAGCTTGAGAGTACGTCTAGGTCCTTCACGGAAGGTATGGGAGGTAGCATTTTGCCGTCAAAAGTGTAGGTTCGGCCGTCACCACCAGGCTCATAAATACCGACCTGGCTGGGTTGATCGGGAGGCGGACTTTTGCAGACCACATGGAAAGGCGATTGAGGTCTTATTGTAGTAAGTCGCAGTGGTCGGGAGTGTTTATCACTCTCCACATCTTCAGATCGTCTGCAAACAAGACACACGGCGAACGAGGAAGCTGAGGTGGACCGTTGATATAGATCAGGGACACTGTACGCCGCAGCACCGTGCCTTGCAGCACGCCACTGGTCGAAGGATGGATACCTGTCGGTCAGGTGGCTATCGGCTTGTACAACGAGAAAGTCCTGGATCCACTAGTGCAATGATCCACAAACATCACATACTCTCAGCTTGCATAGGATTTCCTGGTTCACCTTATTAAACGCTTCACTGAAATCGATGTAGATCAAGTCGACAGACTCCACTTGATTCACTGCCTCCCAATATTCATGCCTCGTCACGAGCAGGCTAGTGATGCATAAACAGCCTGGTATGAGTTCGTGTTGTGCGGGCATCCTTTTGTTCTGTTGACCGGAACAGTTGTAGCAAACTCTTTTTCACAATCTTCTCGGCAACCTTGGTCAAAATAGGTGTAAAACAAACTGGCCTGTAGTTGTCTACTTTCGGAACCGACCTTACGACCGAGCATTTCCAATTGATCGGTAACGAACCTTCAGATATCGATCTGTTGAACAGGTTAGTTACAATAGGCGAGATGATGGCCGATAGCGACTTATGCGTCGCCCCAATGAAAACACTAGCATATACTTGGCTTTAAAGAGCAAACTGCTTGGGCAACCAGATCTATGGATGTGCTTACACGATACCGGGTACTGTTGCTGTGCGGAGAATACATCTCTTCGAGGACAAGGTAGACACCAATATGCCAGTGGTGCAGATAGCATTCGTGCCAGGAAGCTGTGTGTTTACGGGACCACATGGTATACATCAAATAGAGCAATGTGATTCCGTTGGATAACCAACATCCGAGTGAGATAAGATCGGTTACTTTGGCTTACGTTGCCATCATAATCAGCAACAGGGGGGGGGGACGCAAGGAAAAACAGGCTATGGTGTTACAACTGAAAAATGGCACAATATCGAATAAACAACGTACTGCTAGAAAGTTCTGAAAATGGGCTTTAAGGAGAAAAGACTGATTTGATGGAGTGCTAAGTTCCTCACAAAAATGGTAGGTTGCATAAATCACACATGGCAGATAAGATTCGCAATAGACAGTGATAAATGCCAAAAAGTGCGAAATTTCTTAACACATCAGGTAAACGCATTTGTAAAATAAACGCAACTGAACTCGCATTGATCAATAAGGGCATTTCAAATGGAACCCTGTCGTCCAACTACTATTTACCTTTGGACTGCAAATGTCGGTAGATCAGTTCAAGCAACTCTTCTTGATCCCATTGAATACGAGTTTTTGCCACAATTTCCGCACGCCGCACACGTTCCAGAGACACGTCCCCTGAGAGAACGCTATCAGACAGTGTGCCTACGACCAGGCGAATGAGCATGGTGGCGTAGCGACAAAATTCGGCGTGCTCCGTCAGCCGATCTGGCAGCACTGGTTCTTTCATGAGCACTAAAGGGTACGGAACGAGTAGAAAGAAGTTGATGAGGATGACAACGCACGCGTCATCGGAGAGAAGTCGAATGAACACTGATAAACAAATTGATATGAGCTATGGTCGTGCACTCACGCTGCAACAACGCTTTGGTGAATAGTGGCATTTTTGCCAACATGCTACGCACTTCGTCCGATCGGGCCAAACCAACTAGCCCACGGCAAGCTAGTGTGCGAACACTATCGGCATCCGAAATTGGCTGCTTGGTTTCCAAGTGAAACAACAACGCCATAATCCCGTGCTGACGCCGTACAATATTCCACAAGTGTGATTGACGGTAGAGCAGTTGCATTGACTTTTGATGACCCAATGTGGGAAGTGTGTTGCACTCATTGTTGATTCTCTGGAACCCATTCTGACAGACGGTATGCAAAGGTTTCGCGCCAGATGGGTTCGTCGGTGAGCCGTCCAATCTACGTTTGCGGTTGGGGCGAGCGGAAGCACTCGGAGGGACTCGGTGAGGGGTCTGCAAAAGCGCGGTGGAAAAGGCATTTTATCTGACCTGAAAATATCGGAAACGGTCGATACAATAACGGTTTCTATACCATTGCGCTTATTGTAGCATGGTGTCGGACCAATGATTTACCGGAAGACACCCCTAACTGAAACCCGGTGCAATAGCTAAGTGAATTGTGTGCTCACGAAGGAAACGTGCACTATGTTTCTTAAGAACGAATTGTGTAGTCTGGGTTACAAGTCGAGGATCGTCGATGGTGATAGTTGACAAAGACCACCGGTAACGAAGCGAAGTCAACATAGACGGTCTTTTTTTATCTGTCAGAGACTGTCATTTGACCGTTCCTTAGACGAGGTAGAAGCGATGTATTTACGGTTTCAAAACGCATAAAAGATGAACAATAGTGAACAGAGGGTCAGTGTTCAAATATGGATTCAGTGATGAATGGTGATTGTCAGCCGTTGAAACATGGAGTGGAGTGAGTAAACCGGAGAGGAACCGATTTGCTCATTGGAATCTGATAAATCACAGTAAAGGCATTCGGGAGGTTAATCTGGTGACCTGATTTGAACAGAGCAGCAAATCGAAAGGTACACGGTTAAGGATGATCGCCACTGCAGAGGCCATTGCGATCCGCATATTCCATCCCCCACTGTGCTCGTAAAAAATAGTTTATTCAATATACCTGCCCTGGCCGAACAGCTATCAGTCTAGCCGTCACCCTGACATCGGCTCAGGCAATGTGATGACCTAACCCTCAATCGATCTGTGTGAATGAGACAGCGGCGAACTATTCGCTGTCTAAGCACTGACCGAGTCATTTCAGAACAAATCACTGAACCAATCACTATCCATCCATTTGTAGCCTGACCTTATATGATTGTACCGGCCCGTGGATGAATCATTGAAAACAATTGTTTGCCTCAGACTGGTGTTCTTGATGAACCACTGAGAATGTTCCACATGTTACAAGGTGGAATGCTTCGCCTGGGTGTAAGTGGCTGGATTGCCGAACTACCTCCTCGTGGTGCCAGCTGGGTGGTTCGGGTGTACCCCGTTCCAGCAAAGTGTTCGGCGACAATGTTCCACCTCCGTGGGACATTGTATTCCAGCAAGTGCTGCCTTCATGGGGAGTATTGGGCCCCTGTTTAGTAATCTACTAAACGAAGATGCATGAACTGATCATTCAGTCAACACCTCCCAATGGGTGCGATTCCCTAAATTCGCCCCGCTGCCTTGCGGGTAGGTTATTTAGCCAAAGGCTCGGGGTGGGGTCCCCTAAGTCAACTCCCTAGTTCGGCTTGGGCAACCGGGTAGTATCACGCCCTCTCGCGAAACCATGGACTGTATTACAACGTGCTCATCAGCTACTTTTTCTGCTAGTCATTTTCACGCGACTTCATCACACGCCAATTGTTTGTTTGCTAACAATCCTCGCTTTCCGTTACCCGATTCATCTGTTCAACAATCTGGCTGCGGTTCCGGTTGCGCTGCAGACCAAGGAGTTCAACCTGTGGCTCTCCTTCGTCCCCGATCCTCGTTCCGTCTGGCGTGCTTCAACGTTCGGACACTCATGCAGAATAGACAGCAAGCCGGTCTAGCGCGCACCCTAGATTCTCCAGACATTGATGTCTGCTGCCTTTCAGAAACCCGATTGCAAGATCCCAGGACTGGGCTTACATTGACATCCCCCACTGACCACGAAACCAGATATCACCTGCGCCTTTCTGGAAATCCAGAAGCAGCCTCAGCGGGTTTGGCTGATGTAGGTATAGCACTAAGTGGCAAGGCCGAGGCGTCACTACTGGACTGGTTCCCGATTAACAGCCGACTATGTGCAGTTCGACTTCGGGGTTCAGGTGGAATCAACAGGCACCGCAAAGAGAGACAACTTGTTTGTGATCTCCGTGTACGCTCCAACTGAGTGCAGTGGCTACTCGGTGAAGCATGAATTCTACCTGGATCTACAACAGGTCTTGACCAATGCTAAAAAGTCGGATGTTGTTGTCCTTGCTGGGGATTTTAATGCACGCGTTGGCCGCCTGTTACCCTACGAACGCCACCTTGGTGGTCATCACGCGCTCGATGAGAACCGCTCTGATAACGGAGAGAGACTTCTCACATTGTGCGAAGACAACCGTCTGTTTCTTTCGAGCACTAGCTTCAGGCGTACGAAGAAGCGTTGCGCAACGTGGCGTCCCCCTTCTTCAACACAACCGTGGTCTCAAATTGATCACATTCCAATTAGCTTCAGACGGCGCGGCAGCGTACTGGACTGCAGGTCCTTTTGGTCCACCTTCGTTGACTCAGATCATGCTCTCGTCTGCGCGAAAATCTGTATGTGTTTTGGAGGATCCCGAAACACGAAGCACCGCAAGATTGATGTAAACAGATAAGCTGCTTCCTCTGTCCAGGCGAGCTATCAGTCTTCACTGGCATATGCACTCAGTTGCAATCCACCGCAAGAAGTGGATAGCGATGACCATTTCCGGACAGTCATGCTGCGGTCTAACTCGACGCCCATTGAAGGCTTGGATCTCTGCTCGTTCTCTAAAGCTGTTCGAACGCCGCAAAGATATCCCCGCGGAATCAGATTGCAACGAGCGGCGCCGTTCTGCCAACCGGCTGCTCAAGCAAAACCTACGTAAGCATCGCGAGACATGGTGGTCTGAGCGTGCTTTAGAGATGGAGACCGCTGCCCTCTCTGGCAACTCTCGCAGGCTTTTCCAACTCATTCGGTCCACTGGCCTCAGGAAGCCTGGTGTCAGTGAGGTCATTTGTGAGGTGGATGAGTCTCCGATCACCAACCAACAGAGGCGTATGGACCGCTGGGCCGAGCACTTTCACTAGCAGTTCAACTGGCCTCCACCATCCATCAGTACATGCAGTACACCTTGTTGTCCACCCTGGCTCGTCCCACTGAATCCACCCAGCGAAGTGGAAGTCTGCCTCGAGATTCGACGCTTGAAGCGCTTCAAGGCTGCCGGCTTAGACGGACTTCCTCCGGAAGTATTCAAGTACGGCGATGTGGCGATCATTCACCAGCTGACCGCGCTGTTCGCAAAAATTTGGCAAGAAGAGAAGTGCCTTCCTCTTGGGGCGAATCAGTTATTGTCCCGATTTTCAAGAAGGGCGCTCGCACTTCATGTGCAAATCATCGCGGGATTAGTCTTATTTCGGTTGCTTCTAAGCTGTTGGCATCCATTCTGCTTCGTAGACTATCCCCAGTACGTGAATCATACTACCGTGAAGAACAAGCTGGTTTCCGTCCTGGCCGCTCCGCCAGCTCCTCGAACATTGCCACATTTATCACAGTCCCACTATCGTTGCATTCCTAGACATACGTGCGGCTTTTGACACCGTTGACCGACCTGCTTTATGGCGTTGCTTACTAAAGAAAGGGATGCCAGAGAAATATACCGCCATCTTACGAGCACTTTACCTTCATACATTCAGCAGAGAGAGGGTCTATGGCAAGCTTTCCTCGCAATTCGCTGTCAATAGCGGTGTGCGACAGGGCTGCCCTATGTCTCCATTCCTCTTCAACTTCGCAATCGAAGACGTTCTGTCGAATGCTCTAGGTTTCCAACATTTTAACCTAGAGCTTCTACCGGGTGAGCGCGCGACCGACTTAGATTATGCTGATGATATCGCCTTACTTGGTGACGATCCTCAGGGTATGCAACTCATTCTGGATCGTTTGCTGGTTGAAGCATCTAAGTATGACATGAGCTTCACCCCATCGAAGTGTAAAGTACTGCTCAAGGATTGGCTTTCACCTGCTCCCGTGCTCACTCTCGAAGGTGCACAACTTGAACAGGTAGATAGTTTCGTCTACCTTGGGAACAGTGTTTCTGCTGACGGCACTATCAATAAAGAAGTTTCTCTTCGTATCGCTAAAGCTCGATCAGCAGTTGTCAATCTGAGGCACTTGTGGCGTCGTCGCGACGTCTCATTCTCACTAAAGGGCCGCGTTTACATCGCATCAGTTCGCTCAGTATTGTTGTATGGGTGCGAGTCCTGGCCGATTCGCGTGGAAGACATGCGTCGTCTTTCTGCCTTCGATAACGGTTGCTTAAGGAAGATCGCTCGTGTTCGATGGCAACATCGAGTCAATATTAATAACGTTCGACGTCGCATTTTGGGGAATGCGGGTATTCCCTTCAATAAACTGGTTTTGTTGCGCCAGCTAAGATGGCTCGGTCACGTCCTACACATGGCACCTGAGCGTCTACCTCGTCGCGCTCTATTCGCTCGTCAAGGACCTGACTGGACGCGACCGCGTGGTGATCAGCCTTCCACTTGGCGGCAGCACATGAAATCGCTGACGTTGTGCCTAGCGGCTGTTGGATCCGTACGTCTTCTAGGATGGAGACCCAAAGATGAGGAGTGCCAATGGCTTAGCACTCTTGAAGACGGCCCGCAACCGGAATCAGTGGAAGAATTGTGTACAGTATTGTATTGATTCACATGTTTAATACTACAAACATTGAAAATGACAAAAAAAGAGAAAAAGCGGTGTGTGAAAAACAAACTAAAAATGTTTTGTTCTACTTTTTGTCAAAATGTTCCATTCTTCCTGTGGCACATTAGCTGAAGTGTGTTGCTCACCTGCAACTACCATGCCGGGATGATTATGACGCGATGACGGTCCCTTATCCTCTGATCTCCATGGCTTTATGTTAGCTCTGTGTCTAGTTAGACTGCTGAGATTACTACTGCTACTCGGTATAAGTAGGTTGTTTGAAGGAAACTTTGCTCTATCCATTGAGATGAGTCCTCAAGTATGTGTAACAGTGCAGCCGTTCTCAGGTTGGAGAAAGTACCTAGAGCCTTTAAGTGAAAATTTTTGGTAGAGCATTCCTGATAGCATATCTCAAGCAATCCTGCTACCCCGTGCGCCTAACTTATGAGTACAAGGGTGTACGTAGGAAGCATGCAGAAAAATCACGTTACTGAATGGTCAACCAGAGGGTCAGTTTGCGCATAAACTTTTAACGAACGCAATCTCTTCTGTCTCAAATGTTCATTGGCCGAAAACCTTTCCCTCTAAGGATAGTCGATTTTGCCACTCACAGCACCGGTCGAATGTTCCAGTTTCTGAAACCCAGGAGCCCTTTTCACAAACAGCGACAAACGCCATTCATTTTAACTATGTGCTCTCTTTGAGCTTATGCGTGCTAAAAATACGTGGCGTGCAAACAGGACAGCTATGTTTCCAGCTACGGGGCTAGGACTCCAATGACGATGACCACATGTATCGCGTTTTGCAAGGTGATGAACACCTTTACCTTTAGATGTATTAGTAGACTTGAAAAAGCGCACGCGGTGGAAACAATCTGCCCTGCCTGGTGCAAGTGATCCGGGCAGATGGCTAATCTAAGGATACATGCTGTCGGTAGAAGTTATTTGCAGGCGCGACGGAACTAGTCCGATGGGTAGGAAGATCGCCATTTGTGTGTGTGTGTGTGTGTGTGCATCCCATTTACCCCGGTCATTATTACCAATAAAATGGCCGATGGCGACTAAGGGGTGAAGCTACACAGTTATTCGAATGCAGTTAGTGCTGTTTTAGGGCTCATTCAGAATCTTCACAACTACACCTGCTCCATTATGGAGAGTGCTAGTGTCATTAGGAGTTACCAGACGAGAGGAGTGTGCACTGTGGGGAGCAACACCTAACATTCACCCACACTGGTAAATTGATTTTTGTGTAATTTCCATAGAGCAAAGAGAGGCCACTTGATAGTTTTTTTCCGCCCACATAAGATAGACGCCAAAACATGCGACAGATAATGAGAACAGTGTCCAGTTTTAATTGGCTGATGAGAAATGTTCTGGCAATAGTGCGTATCTGGTGGAGACTAAAATCACATTCTTTAAGAGGAAATGAATAAACCAACAAATTACGGTATAAGGAACAACTACGCAATTTATGGATTAGACCACCCGCAAAATGGAAGCGATCATCAGTAAAAAAAACAGTATGTAGTAGAAAAGCGACTTCACCTTGAATGAGGTGGGCGATGAACGACCTAGACGTGTCTGCGGAGGAGATGAGGTAATGTTTGCGAGATTGCCAATGGAGGAGGCGCCGCTCGCCAACTCTGCCAGCACCCGGGTCACGGGTATGGGATTATCTGGGTGTTCGTGTTCCACGATTGGCCGGTAAACAAGAGTGCAGACAAACGCCAGAATCGATTTATGCACCCCGACATCCCAACCGTCATCTTCTCGGGAGATGCTGAACAACATACTAAGTGAAACAGAAGGAAACGCAAAGCGCATAAGCATCGATTAGATGAAGGCATTTACAAAGACATGAGGAAAGGGAGGAGAAAGGTGCGAGTGAACACTGTGTGTATGCAAGTGGAAATAGGATGTCATGTAAAAAGAATGAATGCAAAAGGGGAAATTCTGTGAATTAAGGCTATTGCTCAACAGTGGCTGACGCAAAGCGCAAGTGATGTGACTACCGCACTAACCGGAGATCCTAAAATAGCGATTTCATTTGAATGCATACAAAAACTATACAGAGTGTGTAATAAACCGAGTCGTTCTCCTGTCAGTTGTGGAAGTCCCGGCAGTATCCTTGTCCAACTCCCCCCAACCATGAATTACGCCAATACTAATAAATCCATGCTGCATCGGCAGTCGCGCAGCAGCCTTAGGAATAGGGTCGCCTTATCTGTTGCATACAGCGCAGTGGGAAAGTGAAAACATGCTATCGCTAGCGCCTCCCTTTTTTTCTTCTCCGCACATACTCTCCCCGTCCCCGTCTCATCAAACCCACTACTTCCTCCAATTCAGGTCGTCAACACCTATACGATTGCACGCCAAGGCAATCGTATGCCTCCGCTCAAAATTGGGTGCTGGAACGTGCGCAAACTGCTCGAGCGGAATACGATTGCGCGACCCGAGCGAGGCACTGCACTGGAAGTGATGGAACTCGTGCGCTATGAGATCGATATTCCGCGAATTCGGAGGCCTACTCTCTTCGACGGTTTACATAATAGACAGGGAGGCACCTTGCCAACATGCACATCAAGCGCAGCCACACCAGGGATATCAAGCAACAGCCAATCACCTGAAACGACAAGATAAAATAATATAAATCCAATAATGCATAGAGATAAGGTGACATAACTCTTCGCTAAGTCGGCATATGAAGTAAGTTGGTTAGCGAGGAATCCGCGATAAGTAAAAAGTGTCCACAAGTTACTTAGAAATGCTACAATCGCAACAAAGTCACCGAAGATAAACGCAATTAGCGTAATCAACGCGGCCAGTTAATTCACGTAGGCAGGACAAACCAAATAAAGGGGAATGAAATTTATCCAGCTTAAAAAGACCTAGTTTAAGTGCGTTGGTTCAGCCCTACTGTGGTGAAGAAGCATATATATATATATATATATATATATATATAGAATCAGAAGTTTATACTAAAGACATAGAGCCGGCGGAGACTATGAAACCGAAGTAATAAATACAGAAACCACAAAGAAAAGAATGAAGTTGCAGAAGATATGTTTCTTTTTGTATCTTTTTTCACCGTTTTATTTTATTTTGTCAGTTTAATGTTTGCGATGTAAGCCAAGACAATCAAGGCAAATATTTGTACAGATTTTCCATTGGGCCCGGTTCTACGTTATCTCCGAAAGGGTTTCCTGCCAGCGCTGTTCTTCCTCTTTGATATCCCAGCCCGGAAGACGCCCGGGACTTACAACAGCTAAACTGGAAGTCAGCGCTTTAACCGTTTGTCGCCACGTGATAGGCTGACCACCACGCGATTTCTTCCAGCCTGGTCCTTTGCGACCGAAGAGGGCGCGTCGAGGCAGCCGTTCCCATGGTATACATAAAACGTGGCCTTCTTGTAACCCACAGATAAACACATTCTCGCGTAGAAGTGCCACAGATTCACGGGGCGGGGGCGTGAGACCTAAGATGCGGCACATACCACGACAGCATAGTGGGTCTTGAAGAACATCTGACATGTGCATAATCGGTGGAGCAAAAGATGGGCCGTAGCTCGATGCATGAGGGAAGAATTCGTCGTGCGAGGTACTGTCGTAAAGATTGTACATCTCTCCTCCAGCGACGATCGCCAGCTCTCTGGAGCCAGTACTTGAGTTAGAGGATGTGAGCTTCGTTTGCTTTCCTGTGGTGCGCAGCCGTGCGGGAAATATCACGGATGGGATGAGCGGTAAGCTTACGACAACATGTGCTCGCCCAATCATGCATAGCCTGAGTGTGGCGACCAGGCGCGACACACTTCACGTCAGTCCCTGTGCCGACATGTGAACGGTTACAAGTGTAAAGTCACTGGAGGGATCGTCATTTTGACTTCAGTAGGAGCCAATTTCCTACCATTTTGCTGCACCTATTAGAGATTTCAAGGGTTTCGTTGGGGTATATTGAATCATAGGCAGCGAGCTGATTGGGCTCATCTATCACCGGTCGTGTTAGTTGTTGGTTCATTGTACGTTCGGAGAGCATTGTAGGTTGTAGAGGAATTTAACTCGTTCGTAGTTTGCAGTAACACGGGTAAAATCTCCTGCCATAGGAAAAAGCGTATGAAAATGAACCCCACATGAATGATTGCAATCCAAACGCAAAACTTGACAAAGAGCCATTAAAACTGAGTGTCCGATAGCGTGGGTGGCAGACTCTTACGGCAACCTAAAAGGTGTGAGCGCATACAACCAGAGACGCGGTCTATAAACCAAGGATCGAATGTAACTCACCTAGCCTACGGTGTACTTAACATATTGCCAAGGAAATGGAATTTAAAGAGAGCTAGGCTTTCTAACAGATTAGATGGCCAAACTCACTGTAAACCATTGACACGTTCATCCGGTGATGTCTCCGTGACTTCGCGTCGGTCATCGCCATCCATTGCTTCTCCTTGATCTGCGTCAGCAGCAGATAATTCACCGGCAGCTTCGTTGGAAGCAGCAGTATTTCGCCTTCGACGTGTACGAGAACCCCTACCATGACCCAACGATTCGACTCCGACTTGTTCGACAATATCCAGCAGTTGGTTGATCAGGCCGCGGCGTTCATGTCTGTTGGCACCGCCAACGGTGGGCCCGTTAGGGGACGGAAGGTGAACCGTAACGTCCATCGACCCTGAACCGGACCGCGGGCTGTCAGCCGCGGGGGCCAAGGACGGAAACATGGGAGATGAACCGAGGAACCCGGCGGACGGAAAATTCAATCCATCGGGGAATGAGTAAACATCAGTGCTAGCTATTTCATCAGCCAAGTCGTAGGTGATTGACATCAGGTTGAGAATGTCTACAGCCAGGCGGGTACATTCGTTGCGGCAAGGCCAACTGTTGTGCGCGTAGACATTGCGTGCAATGATGCGGTACAGTACGTGTATTCCTCCACAATCTCTTAGCTGTTGTATTGGCGCCCACACGGTGTCCGGGCGAATGCGAGCAATGACCAAAGACATGAGACGGGACAGTTGTTCGGTCGAGTAGGTGATAGGCTAAAAAACGGATATGGAGAAAGTTCAATTGAAAAGCGGTGTCAATACATTGAGGCAAATCACGATGGTAAGATGGTTATGGGAAAATGGGAAATTGGGAACGGTTGTCTCGAAGCGTGAAAAGAATGGGTTGTTGTAGCAATTGCGTTCACTCCCACGAGATCCGCAGGGCCATCGGTGTGTTGAGAACCATAAAGTAAAGTTAAAGCGATTGTGGTAAAATCGCACTGAGTGGAGGGAAAGAAAAATTGAAGTAACGAGGATCGTGCGCACGTACCCTACATCTAGCGGCGGCCACAGAACGGGGTGGTTCATCGAACAGATTCGCCAAAGTGGGATCGATCTGGTCGATCCATAGTAGCAGGTTGATTTCCAGAAAACGTCTGATCGCGCACAGACTGGCTCGAACCACATGCCATGAAGTGGTGTCTTTCACTGAAGGCGGATGATCCTCCGTCAGACGGAGAGGCAATACACAAATCTGTTGGCAGAAGAAAGATTACAAGGGGAAACTTAGAATAAAGTCGTAGGTACCTCATGCAAGCAAAGATAGAAACGTAAGTGAGGGTAACTCTTTTTGTTCATTGGTTAAATGAACTGTTCGCTGAGCTAAGCAATTTTGTTGAAAACGCTTCGTTACTAGTCGAGGCTGCGCAGTAGCGATGTGTATACAAGTGTGACCTGAGTGTCACACGCGTGCGTTCTCCTAGGTCATCGTCATCGGTCGTTTGAGTATGTGACCATTGAAAATGGTCTCTTCGACCCATGCCATGTGGACATGGTCCGTTTTTCTCCGCAGTTGAAAATGCTGCCTGGGCTGTTCGTCTGGTATCCTTTCCTAATAATGCCATTCGACTGCGGTAGTGGTCCTTCGCTCACAGATTTGCAAAGATGACGTCCAAATAAAAGTGTCAATTGATTGCATACTTCTTGGAGTACCATGTTTTTGAAAATTCTACTACCTGCTTTGTATTCCCACGTTTAACGGGTGTATCGAAACCAATGTATAGGGGTCACGCTTTCTTATGCTCGGTGAACCGTGTGGATTGCTTTATTCCTGTTTATCCGACGAGGTGCTCGTCACATTCGCTGCATTTTACCTGGCAGATCTCTCTCTCTCTCCTAATCTGGATATTGAACAACACTGGTCAAGTCTGCAACAAGCCATGCTGTCGGTCGGTTTGTCCAGCTTGCTCCACTCCTAAAACCTGTACTCGGGGTATTCTCATTAGAATACCGACGGCTTCGCGGTGATCTTACTCTCACATACCGGATATTAACCGAAAGCGAGCATCCATGTACATCGCTGTTGACTCTAGCCCCATACAAACAAAACCGAGGCAACCACCTGAAACTAATGACGCAACACTCTCGTTTGAATTGTAGAAAGTATCTTTTCTCACTTAGAATCTGTTCTCACTGGAATGCATTACCAAAATATGTGGTGAACGCACCAGACATGACGACATTGGAAAGACTCTTAGATTTTCATCTTAGTGATAAACGATACACAACACTTTGTTAAAGTGCAATGATTTAACCACTGATACTTTACGTTCCACGCTGGAACATTTTGATTTTAATTTTCTTTTGCATATCCATCCTGTGGGTCTTGTAAAGTTATGCTTTTTATCCCATCATACACCATTGAACCATTGCTGGATCGCCGACGGGCGGTGCCTGCTGGCGCAGAGCACAACGAACACCGCCGGTCTATTACGTAACAGCTGAAAGTAAGCCTTCGCTCTGATCGTGAATCCTGGTGGTAAAAACGAGCTGATGAGATGGAAGCCGCTGCATCAGCTGGCAACTTCCGTCGTTTATTTTGCATTATCAGGGCCACCGGTTGCAATTCCCACGCTATCAGCCAGACGATTTGCAAATCAGACGGCACGAAGAGCACCAACCTCCACAGGCGATTACGTCGCTGGACAGAGCATTACGTTATTCAATTCAACCACCCAACACAGCACCTTGTGGCACCTCCAGCCACAACGGATGATGCTTGGTCTGCTCCACAGGTCCCCCAACTGAAGCAAAGATTTGAGATGCAATCCAATATTTGAAACGCCACAAGGCTCCTCGTCCCGACAGCCTACCACCGGGCTCTATTCAAATATTGCGGGAGTGTACTTGTCAGCGAAATCCTATCGCTGTTCACGAAAGTTTGGACTGAGGAGAAGGTTCCGAGGTCCTGGGGAGAATCAGTCATTGTTCCGATTCACAAGAAAGGCTACCTCGACGACTGCTGTAACTACCGCGGAATGTTGTTGATCTCTGTCGCATCCTAAATCTTCGTGTCGGTCCTACTTAGCAGGCTTTGAACGACTAGAGAGGAGTTTTCCCGAAAAGAACAAGTCGGATTTCGTCCAGGCCGCGACTGCATCGACCAAATCTTCACGCTCCGCCAACTTCTCGAACTCGGCCAACAATCGTAGTGTTCTTGAACATCCGAGCGGCATTTAATTTAATGGATAGATCTGCGTTGTGGAACTGTTTACTGAAGAGAGATGTGCTCGACATGTTTGCAACCATCCTGAAAGAACTTTAGTCACACGTCGAGCAAAGTCAGGGCTTACGGCACGTTCTCTTCTGCATTTGCTGTGATCAACGGTGTCTGCCAAGGTTGCCCTATATCACCTTTCCTCTTCAATTTTGCCATCGAAGATGTCGTCCAATGAGCACTGGAAGGTGTGCAGAAATACGGTGTTGAGTTCCTCCCTGGAAACAGAGTCAGGGACATGGACTACGTGATGATATCGTCTTGCTGGGAAACGACCCACAAACCGTCCAGAGCGCTTTGAACTGCTTAGCGATGGAGACGTCTAAGTACGGCTTATACTTCACTCGGGGAAATGTAAAACGCTGCTCCAGGACTGGCAGGTGCCTGAACCCGCGCTCACCATTGCTGGACATGTTCTGGAGCAAGTCCCTAGGGAGTTGCATCCCGGATGGTGGTGGTGTTGGAGATGAAGTCTCACAACGGATTGCAAAGGCCCGTCTTGCATTCATCAAACTGAGACACCTATGGCGTCGTCGTGATATCAGTCGCAAGCTTAAGAGCAGTGTGTACAATGCTTCCGTCCGTGCAGTACTCGTGCGGCTGTGAGACCTATTCACTCGGAAGACATGAAGCTGTTGTCTGTCTTCGATAATCGCTGTCCACGAAGGATTGCTCGGGTGTGATGGCAACACCATGTAGGCAACGCAGAGGTCCGAGACCGAGTGCTTGGAATGTGAAGTGCCAGTCTTTAGAACTTTATTCTCCGACATCGCCTGCGTTGGCTCGGGCACGTTCGGCGCATGCCAGCCCATCGCCTTGCACATCGAGCACAATTTATACTCCGAGGGAGCGATAGGAAAAAGTGCCGCGGTGGACAGCCAATGACGTGGAGAAGGAGCATGAAGAAGGCAACCTCAAGTTTGGCGGCAGTCGGACCAGTTCGTCTTCTAGGTTGGGGACCAGATGATGCTGAATTGCAGTGGTTGGAAACATTGGATGTCATGGCCCGCAACATATATCAATGGCATCAATGTTATTCTGCCATCTTATCCCCTCTTTAATGCGCACAAAAAAACACGAAACAAAAACCAGAAAACCCAAAATGGCGTGTTAAACCAAAAAAATCGTTTCCCATTTTTATCGTATTTCGTGTTTCCGTTTACTCAATTTGTTTTCTTCTGCTATAGTTCTGATGGCACAATGTCTGTTAACAGACTGTGAATATATATATATATATATATATATATATATATATATATATATGTAAAATCTGGCAGATTATATGGGTTTGACTGCATTGTTTAATTTTGTCCTTCTGTCTTGAAATCAACCTTCTCAAAGCAGCACTTGGTCTGTGTGCTCCAGTGAGATTGTGTTTTTAGAGTAATCGTGCTGCTAGTTCAGAAACGCTCTTGTTTGAAAGCACTACCCGTTTATCGCTCTGTTCTGGTCGCTACTAAGGCATTCGCCACTTCAGGTTTCAAACTTGTGTCTATGGGAAGAAGACACACACGGATCAAACACTGAACTATCACAGTAACCACCCTATGAATCACAAAAAGAGCTGTATCAAAACTATATTCCAGAGAGAGCAGAAACATACTGCAGCAAAATGGAATTGAGAACCATCTATACCGCGTGTTGCAAAAAACAACGTATATCTAACAAATGTTACTAGAAGAAGCCTCAGTAGCGGCCAGCACAGAAAGATAAACGGGTAGTGCTTCCAAACATCAATAGCGTTTCTGAACCAGCAGCGCGACTATTCCATCGACGCAAAGTCATCGTAGCATACAGACCAAGTGTTGGCCTGAGAACGTTGCTTTCAAAATGGATCGACAAAATCAAACAATGCAGTGAAACCCATGCAATCTGCCAAATAAACTGCAGCGAATATGACGAGCATCACATCGGATAAACAGGAATAAAGCAATCCACACGGCTCACCGAGAATAAGAAGGCATGACACCTATACATTGATTTTGATACATCAGGATGAAGCTAATTATCATAGGACCTAGAAAATGTAAAGATTCCAACACGTGGGAATTTGAAGCAGGCAATTCTTAGAAGCATGGCATTCCATGAAGGATACGATCAATCGACACATTGATTTGAACGTCATCTACGCAAATCTATGAGCAAAGGACCACCACCGCAGTCGAATGACCTTACTGGAAGAGGACACCACACGAGCATCTCAGGCGGCATTTTCAGCCGCGAACGAAAACAGACCATGTTCACGAGGCATGGGTCGAAGAGACCATTCGCAATGGTCACATGCTCAAACGACCGATGACCTATGAGAACGCATGTGGTTGACACACAGGACACAATTGTATACGCATCGTTATGCTGCGTAGCAATAATTACGTCATCTCAACTGATAACGAAGGGTTTTCAACAAAATTGCCTAGCTCAGAGAACAGTTTGTCCAACAAAGATGAAGGCAATCTGTCCGTAATCGACGGATCTGGGGACGGTAAACGGAGGCCAGGTGTGGCCTTGTAAGCGCGCGAGCTTTCAGTCAAACAAGCAGTCCCTACTTTGAGTCAAAATACAACCAATCACAACCCCAGCTTACAACCGTATCTGTGTTACTTTACTGCTGTAATTGCATTTCCCGCTGTGAATTACTGAAAAAGTGCTATTCGCAATTGTCCTGCCTATAAAATACAAAGAGGTTGAGAAATGCGATGGTGTAGGGGAGAGCCAAACACACCAGCATGTGAAGATGGCCGTGGATCTGAAGCGTCAGATGAAAGTATGCATTATTCGGTCATGGAACATCATTTTGAGAAGGAGAGTTCATTCCCAGTAAACTAACATTCGTTAACCGCCCTGAATAGATTTGTGTATTCACAGCCCGTATCTACTGATTGTTCAGATAATTGGAATGAAAAGGATAGGTTAGCAACGATTCGAACTCACAGCATTGTACAGGTAAAGAAGTCCGTTTTGTGATTCGAAAAGTTCGAACGTGACTCCATAGCACAAAACCAAGTTCATGAAGAACAGCGAATAGCAGCGGGCCGATGGATGGGAGCATTCGATCAGCCAGAGGGCGTACTTCATCATGTCCAACAAGACAGCGGAAGGCAATTGGCAGACCTACAAGAAACGAGATTAAGCGGTTGCGCTTGAACAATAAGGGAGGGTCTAACCTAACAGATGGAGAAAAAGCGTGAATTTAAGCGGAAGAACGAACGTTTGTCGGATGAGCAAGTCGTTGGGGCGTTGCAACACTGAAAGTATCTACCTTAAAACCTGCTGTCAAACTGAGTCCCGTAAAAAGCAGGTATAGACAGGTGGGTGAAAATCGGAGGGATGTTTGGAAGAAACGGATTTTCAGTGGGCCTAAAACTCAGTTACAAGTGGTCTAATTGACGACCACGTGGAGTGGTGACAAAACTAATTCATCACATAACAAGTAGCACAAGCCAGTAGCCATCTTAACTGAGTAGCGTGCGCAAAATTAGGCGTTTCAAATGGCCAGTTCTGCAAGTTCAACTGGTAGAATGACCTCGCAAACACTTGGTATATTCACCATATTCAAATGTGCGGCGAAAAGAAAGGTTCCTTTGTCAGGCCATGGTTGTCGAACGTTAAAAAAATCATCTTCAGGATTCACCAAGGCAGCTGTAACGTTTTTTGCTTTAATAAAGTTGATGGTGCTATGTTTGTTTCACCGGACAATGCTCCACGTCGCGAATTAGAACATTTCCCGCGTTAGAACAAGGGGACTACCCCGTGAATGCCTAAGTCAAGTCAAATCAAGAATTCGCTTTTATGCACCCATGAAGGGTGAATTTTCAGCCGTAACACACGCGCGAGCGAAATGGTAACGAAAAACAACAAAATAAAAGCAAAAACAGAAAACGGCGTCTAAAACAATGTTTAATGTGTGGTACAGGAGATCACTAGCATAATTTGCTGTTTACTTCCTGAATGATAACACTCGGATCACGCAGAAATCTAGCTAGATAAGGTGTGACAGATGAGCCGTAGGCCCGCGTGTGGGTGCATATGGCTATGTAGTTTCGTCGCGTTAAGGAGCTGGGTTTACAGTCGGATAAAACGCTATGTTAAGGATGGCTGATATCAGTGAGTATTTTCGAAGCAAGTTTTGCGCATGAATTAACATGAAAAGATAAAATGCGTTGAACTAAAGTTGGTTTAAAAATGCCACTGCATCGTGGTATGTGTTTCAGCGACCTATGAAGTGGTTTGAAATGCTGACCCAATAGGCCCAGAAAGAGTACAGGGGAACAGTAGGTCTAGTGTGGTAGAACACATGCAATGATGAATCGCAGGATCAACTGGTGGGAGACTGGGGACGAACGAAGACGTGAGACAGAAAAAGACAGTCGCCTCACTTTGGTGAATACTTCATTCACGTGAATTGACCACGATAAGTCGTGGCTCAGTGTGATTCCATGATACTTCACTGACTTCGATAAGCTCAGGCTTTCACCACTGATGTGAAGTTGGGGACAGTTAGAGATGAGTTTCCGATAATCATCTGCCTTATGCAGCGAAAACAGTACATCATTGCACTTGGAAGAATTCAGCGTTAAGCGGCGGGAGTTTGATCAATGCACGATTTCATCCAAACAACATTGTAGCATGGTCGAAGAGGCTGAAGTTAGATTATTCGCGCCGATTGGTACGTCATCGGCGTATTTTATCATTATGGCTTCTTCAGGGACAGGGATGAAGCCAACGTAGTTAGGGATTAAGAATGGCGAAAAAATTGGTTCCTTGAAGGACATCGGAAGTGGTGGTAAGAGGCAAGGAGCTACTGTGTTGAAGGTGGTTATCTGAGTACGTTTGGTAAAATAGTCCTATAGAAAGGAGGCTAGGGATGGCTGGACACCAGAAGCCAGAAGATCTTGCAACAAGATTTCACGGTTAACACAACCGAGGGCGTTGGTGTAGTCAAGGAAGCATGCACGTGTGATTTTGTTCTTGTTGTCTAGCGAAGATAGCACTGAGTGCACTAGGCAAGCCACTGCGTCTTGTGTTGACCTCCAACTTCGGTATGCAAATTGATGTGCGTCATTCAGATGACAGTGAGTTGGCAATTTTTCAAGGATGAATTTCTCGAAATGCACGCAAAAGGTCGATACTGAACTGAAAATAAATACAACAGTTACATGCCAGCTGAGCTACCAGCAACGGATGGGCATCGTTCCGGAAAGCTACCAGCCGGCTACTACGCAACAAGAAAAATTACTACGTATAATTATATTATGTTACGGAATGAGATCGTGGTTAGAGTAGAGACTAAGAGGGATGGGGTGGGACAAAGAAACTCACATTACAAACGCCACTGAGGTCGGCTCCTAGCCATATCAGTAAGTGTATCTAGTCAAAGGTGTTCATCGTCTTTTGGTCCCCAACCAGGGAGCCGTGAAGCTCCAACCGAGGTCAGCTTCGAAGTGAGGGCCTTCATTCCTCTCGACCAAGTCATCGCTTGGCCACCTCTCTTCTTCTTCCATCCACACCCCCGGCGCGCAAACAACGCACGTCGCGGGATCCGGTGGACTGGCATGCGCAACACATGGCCGAGCCATCGGAGCCTGGTGCAATCTTTAATTTTGAAGGCTCTCTCCTTAAGTCGACGCAGCTGCTTGAGGAATGGTGAGGAGAACCGGTCAGCACAAATGAAAATAGTTTTCAGGGACAGCTGAGATCAAAACAGAAGTTCAGATAACTTGTCCTCCGGTCACAATATGTTGATACATCTGCATCGAGAAACAAACTGAAATCTATAGAGGCAACCATTTCTTTCAGTTGTGTTATGTTTGGAGGATTGGTTTGTCTCCGTTCAATTTTATGTTCTTTGCAGCAAGTAACTTCCTTGCGGTTCGTCTTACTGTAGACGCCAGGAGATAGCTTGACTATCGAATGATCAGAGCTTCCAAGTGGAGCCCAAGTACTGATTGAAAATATTTGCAGGTTGTTAACAAACACTAAGTCCAGGGTTGCTTCTAAACTGGTGGGACATTTCACGATATTCCGTAATCCAAGTATTGTGAGGAGGGTTAGAACTGCACAACCAAGTTTGGAGAACCCACGTGAGAATGAAAATCGGATACAACTCGATAATCGAGCACCAATGCTACCTCAGTAATTACGAGACATTTGCTTAGTCGCCAAGTAAATCCGGATGAATCATTCAACTTGATCATGCGCAACCAAAGACCTCACATTCTCAAGCTCCTCGAGGCGATTGTTATCGATCAACAGCGTCCAATGCACTGCGTTCAAAAATAGCTGATTGTGACGCTAAGCCTGCCGTAGTAGAGTAACGCACAATCGCAATTCATTTGCCAAACAATTGGACTTATGTTGGTTGCTTTGTTATTTGCAGATACGTGACCGATTGGAATGCAGGAAATGACAGTGTCATCCCACAACACTCGTCTTCTGACATTCTTATTTGAACAAACCGATAACGCAAGTGTACCCCTAGGAGTTTGCAATCAACTTTAATGCCGAAGGAGAGGGATCAGTCAATAAACAAGGATTACTTTAGCGTAGCTTGCCACTCAACTATTGCGCAAGCGCCCGCGCAACACCACTTGCAGGCGCGTGACAAGTACAACACCAGCGGGAGTCAAATTCACACGCATGAACTACTGTAGGCAGATTAGTGGTCTCGTAGGGAAGACTACTGAGGGGTCGGTTTACGATCAGTGAGAGTAGCACTTGCGCGACGTTACGAAAAAGAAAGTGGCATTCACGGTAAACAGATGGAGAATGGGGCACGAGATACTCCGATACGTGTGAAAGTCGCATAAACAAGGTGGATGACACTGGTCGGTATAAAATTAAAAAGAACTGTCACCACAGAGAACTGCACATCGTTCAAGAAAAAGGAAGCAAGTTTTTGTGTGGACCCACTCGCTCCATTGCATCTTCGAAGTAGGCGGTGTAGTAGAGAACGATGCTGACGGCAGTCGCTGCAACAGATGGTCGAGGCACCTGTAACACTGCCTGCAATCCATTTTTCTCCACGAATTCTAGATAAACGCACCGGTGACACATCAGGTTACCCAGCAGTCGAAGGGCTTCGAAAGTGAGTCGAATATCGCGGGCCGCAACGCTGGGTGAAACCCATATATAGATCAGGTCCAGAATACCAGCATTGTACATGAACGGCATCAACTGGAAGAGAGAGGTAAGATTAGAGGACCTTTGCGGCAAATAAGTGTATGCAATGGAACAAGAGTCAATCGCCGTAAAAGCAATGGAAACAAAAACAGCAGCGCTATTGACGACTGGAGTGGGTGTAAAGTCACAGTAAGGTGCAGCTTTGTGGCGCGACTGATAAAGTTTGGAGGCGCTATGAGGGGAACCCACAACTGAACTCAAACTCGATTAAAACCAGCTGCCGTTGGGAGTGATTTACGAAATTCGAACGGATGATCACCATTAAAAGTAATCGAGGTTTAAATATGCTGAATGTAAGAGCCGAAAGCCCGAATTTTAACACATCTGCGAGCAGGCTGTGCTGACACCACAACTTCTATTCATCAAAATCGAGCCAGATTAGCAACTCTGGTGGATCTGCTATGATTTCAGACACGTATACGCCTGAATTAACAATCGATAAGCACTAAACAACCGAAAACCTATGGACTGTGTACTGCTTTGATTAGCCAACGCTGTGGGACTAGCAGTCGAATCATTAGACTCTACAATGGATGAAACAAACGTAATCGGTGTAGTTGACTTCAAATATCACACAAATAGCACGCGTGAAAGCATCAGTGGAATTCGTACAAGAAGCGATCAAAATCTGTGGATGATATATGGGGATGACGTCGAGATTACTGATGAGAGTAATGGAACGCTCAGCTAAACACTAGCCAACCGATTGAAATTCTACTAAGTCATCGGAAAGGTGTTTAGATGTAAAGAGCAGAATATGGTCCACTAGGGTGCACAAGGAAAAATAAATCAGTCATGCGCCACAAAGGCAGATGCCCAGAAATAATCCGATATGGAAATTATCGTCATCAAGGACAGGGACAGAAACAAAGTTGTCATACGAACACAAGTTACTAAACATGATAAGAAGGAAAAGAGAAAGACTTGAAAAAGATCTTGCGTCAAGAGCGAAATGTAGCAACAACACAAGTTCATATAAAATCGACTTGTATTCCAAACCTATCGAAATCAAAAACGCAGTAGGCAAATATTTAGGAACAAGTTAGCTGAAATTTGTGGACGATGTACACTCACATGTCTCCAACGTATGTGAAGAAAAAGTGCTTTCGGCGAAAAGCCTTTCTCACCGCTTCTAAAACTCTGCTTCACAACTCACATTGTCTCATACATAACCCCGCGTGATGCACATTTAAACAGACAATCCAGATAGCAGGTGACGGCAAACACATCAATGTGTGCCATATCATGTAATGACTCGACCCAAATACTATCCGCATCGCACAACGGACCAAGAGTCCAGCTTATCGGTAGGTTACTTTATTGGCACAGGCCACGGTCTTGCATACATGACCACTCAGATTGTGTGGAACCTCCTTCTGCTTTCGGAGGTTCCGCAGATGCACGCAAGTCGCTTTTGTCATTACGATAGTCCGAATCCCGTAGCTGTTAATGCGATAGAAAATCAAGTTGGCTTAATTCCAACAACCTAAGCAGTCAGGATATGCTATCTCCCGTTGTCTTAAACAAATGTGCTGGTTCCTTGACTCAACCTCTTTTCAAATTACAAAAGCGATAAATAAAACAACACAAGGTAGCTGAAGTAGTGACAAATAAAGGAATCAATAAATATCGGTCTATTGTATCTGATTGGGCGACCTTGATGGACTTTGGAAAATTATTACTGAAGTGATGATGACCCGAACACGTTCAGATGATCCGCATAAGTTCGTGTATTGTAGTTCCAAAACCAGGCAAAACACTGTGAGCTACCTCTTGCATCCACAGCTACCACCGCTACAGAATGAAATATTTTCGCGCGTATATGATGTATTGACCGTAGCAATGTTTCCGGTTGTGTAAACAGTGAACTTTTGCTAGACCATCTCGATAGGAAGGAAGGCAGCAGAAGCAGTACGCCCCACCGACGTTTCGGTGCCACGTGAACACCACCAATCGCGCGTACCTACACAGATTTGAACCGGTGACTGTTGGGTTCATCATCAGTTACACGTTAGCTGTAGGTGGAAAACACCTCATCTATTGTTCCGCAATACATTAGAAAAGAATTAACATAAAACAGAGGTACGACAGCTAAGTCACTAACACCGGATAGACATCATTCCGGAGAGCTAAAAGCCAGCTATTGTACCGCAAAGTAATCATATTACCCCTAATAAGTGAGATTGTGGTTGGAGTGGGAGGCTAAGAGGGAGGGGAAGTGGCAGAAACTCACAACACAAACGCCACTGAGGTCGACTCCTAGCCATATCAGCAAGTGTATCCAACCAAAAGGGTTCATCGTCTTTCGGACCCCAACCAGGGAGACGAAACGCTCCAACCGAGGCCAACTTCGAACTAAGGGTCTTCATTTCTCGCGACCAAGTCATCGTTCGGCCACCTCTCCTCTTCTTCCATCTAAACTTCGGCGCGCAAACAACGCACGTCGAGGGAGTCGGTGGGCTGGCACGCGCAAAACGTGGCCCAAGCAATCAGAGCCTGATGCTGAACGGTTCGCTTCTTCTTCCTGCGCCATAAACAAGGTGTCGAACACGCTCATTGCTCACACGGTTTTATCACCAGATATGAACTAAACTGCGAAGGTACCGGTGGTCGAAAATAACTAGTCTCTTTATGTCGGCTGATCTAATGGGTCAGGTTTCACAACCGAACAGTAGGGTCGAACCTACGGCTGCACTGCACACTCTACCCTACAGAGTGATTTCGTGCCGGCGCTATAGGTGACGCAGGTTAGCAAGGATTACAAGGCAGCTGTGTCATCCCTATGGTCAGCTGCTCGAGTGTAGAATTCAACCTCCAATAGTTCCCTTGGTAGTGGGATATTTTCTCAAACCTGCGAAGTTCACCCAACTTAGTGGCGAAAGCTCCTCGTCGCCAACCATAAATTCTGGAGGGATTCTATCAAAACTTTGATCTACACCAGTATCTGAGAAAGCCACATCACTGAAATAGTACTGTGTTCAAAAAGAAACCGAACTTTTAAAGTGGCGAGCCAATCAGTAAAGCTAGAGCGTTGGGACACTTGAGTGCACGTAGAAACGTGTCTAGACAGCAAACTGCTATTTGCCGTGTTTCGCTCTGATCGCTAGTTAGCGGGCTAGCCATTGAGGTGATCAGTTGCACAAGCTGCTCGTCGGATTAGTGTCAAAATAACAATAAAAGATCTTGTAGAACAACGTGCGTGTGTAAGATTTTGCTACAAAATCGGAAAAACATTTACAAACATTATGGTTGCTTAAGCAATCATTCGAGGGGGGTTGTATAAATCGCACGTGGTGCTACAAGTGGCTCAAACGTTCTGAACATGGAGGTGTGTCGGTCGGTGAGGATCCCGAACCTGAAAGACCATCCACATCAACAGACGATGATTATGCCGAGAGTTTATGCTGTAATCCGTTGAAATCGTCGTTTAACTGCCCGAGAAGTTGCTGACGAAGAGAACAGCAGCGTGGGATCATGCCGTCAACCTTTGAGTGACAGAGTTGAGATGCGCTTTGTCAGTGCAAAATTCGTGTCGCGTTTGTTGACAGAGGATCAGAAACAGAACCGTGCTGAAATTAACCAGGAACCGCTTGCCACTGCTAATGACAGCTAAAACCTCCCTAAGAACATGATAACAGCCGATGAAACGTGGATTTAAAGCTATGCTATTGAAACGAAGGTGCCGTCGTCGCATTAAATGGGGAAACGGTCTCCCCGTCTAAGAAAGCACATACGAGTCGGTTAAAGACCAATGTGATGTTGGTTGTGTATTTTGACTGCAAAGGCATAAACCAACAAGAATTCGTACCACGTGGTCAGGTGGTAAACAAGGAAGTCTACCAAAGAATTCCAGCACGTGTGAGGGATGCTGTGAGCAAGAAGAGGCTTGAAATGTGGGAAAACCAGACTTAGATGTTGCTCACGCATCGCTTCTTGTCCGCAGCTATCGAGCAAAACAGAAAAACCCGTTGTGCCCCATCCCCGTATTTGCCGGACCTAGCCCGAGCAGAGCTTTGCCTGTTTCCCAAAGTTGAAAGCACGTTGAAACGACGCCGTTTCTAAACCACAGAGGTTCATGACAATGCGACAAGAGACCTATCCACCATACCAAAAAGTGCGCCATAGAAGGCTTTCCAAAAATGGAAGCACCGTTGAGAATGTGTATCGCCAGTAGGGTGGACTACTTTGAGGGGGATAGTGCTTAAAATGTTGTACAATAAGTAACAAAGATGTTAAAGCAGTTCACTTTTCTTTGGAGCATAGTTCGTATACGGGTGACGTGATATTGGGTTTTAGCCAACTGACCGTAGTGCCATCAACCAAGTTACAAACATATTAGAAAAACTCGAAATTTGCCATAGGATGCATGGAAGTGTGACGATGCTATTTATCAAGACATAAAGATTGTTTCCATTAATTTTAGCAGAATATCCATAGCTACACATCGATAGTGGGGGGTTGCAATTAGTAATTACAGTGAAGTATCTGGAAATCACGCTGTCAGGATCTATCGTGGTCACAGTAAACGAGTAAAGCATTCATAAAGTTGGTATTGTGTTACGCTTTTCGTCCGAGACCTTCCCCGTCTCCCAGGGCTTGGTTATTCGGTTTATCGCCACGCGCGCTTAGATATGATATTTTTTAAGTCTAAGCATTGTAAAGCACCCGCCAGATTATAAGTTCAGCTCAATCCAGTTGAACAACTATAACCCGAGCACCGTAGTACGATGGATCCAGATACCACGACTCCCAACACAAGAATAATAATAATAATAATAAATAACAAGGGCAAGATAGCGGAGATAAAGGCAAATAGAATGTAAAGAAAACGGATGCAAGAATGAAGGAACGAAAACTAACAACCAAATGTAAGTGACGGAATGCGGGAATGCTATTTACTGCGTGAATTCGCCATGTCTGATACCGTTTCCAACCATTGGTGTGGACTCTTTACGGTATAATATGACTCTTTTACGGCAGCCAGCTGTTAACTC